AGTAGTCTACAATCAGCTCCGTGGTGTATTACATATCTAGTTGGCTATGACTCACCAAATTTAATTCGTCCTACATTGGTGCAAGGATCAGCAAGTCCAATAGGTACTGTCTTTTCAAATCAATCGTTATTTTCCATACAAGGTAGGCATTTTCCCGACATATAGTTTGTGTTTATTCTTAAACTAATCCGATATTCTCCATCTTCTATTGTAATTACACAGCAACAAGTGCAGTTGGTCGTCCTACTCTCAATGGAACGAACATCTGTTTTCACTATGACACTACAAATGCAACAGTTTTCTGTTATGATGCTGGATATTCTCCAAATGTTATTTATACTGGATATACAATTGTAATTGTTACAAATTATACATGGACACCTGGTCAATCCTATTATGTAACACTGGGTGATGGATTTGCTAGTGGAAGTGTTTTTTGTCGTAAGTCTTTTTGCCTATTTTTTTCGTTAAAGTAAAAGATTAAATATTTTATCATAATCGTTGTAATTGTAAAGATGCTGAATCGTTAGCCATTACTGATAAGACATTTTGGCGATTCGATATATGGAATCCAGCACTTTCAAGTACAACCACAACAACTACTACTCCACCAACAACTCATACAGTTACAAGCCTAGGAACAACTACTACTTCAATTAATACAGCAGTAAGTTTATTTAAATTATCATTCTATTCTTAATATTATACTTTTTCATAGTGTACAACAAGTGGAATAGTAGTAACTAGTACGAATGCTTCTACGACTACAACAACTGTCACTACTACACCTCCAACTACAGCTGGTAAGAAATAACTTTTTCTCTTCACTATGATATCGGGACATTTTCTATAAAATACTTCTTTTTGATAGAATACTTTATAATTCCCTTTTCTGAAAGAAAGGGTTTTATCACGTTTAAATCATGGGCCTAAAATTGCTTAAAGTTTGTCTGTCTGTCTGTCTGTCTGTCTGTCATTCCGTCATTCCGTCCAAACCAATCAGATTGCAGCAAAGTTTTCGAAGCCCATTTTTTTAGAGGTATTTTGATGCAGGGATTTCGAATCCGAGGTCCGTTGGGTGACTATGGTGAAGGGAATGGGTGAATAGGGTGATGGGTGAGTGAGAGGTCAAAAAAACATTCAATATCGATTTTTCTAAAAACATATTTTTAGAGATATTTTGATGCAGGGATTTCGAATCCGAAGTCCGTTGGGTGACTATGATGAAGGGGGTGGGTGAAAGGTTAAAAAAACATCCAATATTAATTTTTCGAAAAATATATTTTTAGAGATATTTTGATGCAGGGATTTCGAATTCGAGGTTAGTTTTTTAAGATTTTCTTATCCCTCATTTTTTTACACAAAGGATATGTATTTACGAAAAAAGTTTATTGGATACGGTGGGTGTGAGTATTCGCTTGTTCGACAGGTGTTTAAAAACTATTTCTGGCAGATTGAAAAAAATCCGATTATAGCTATCAAAGAGGAACCGGCTGGGTGAGGGTATTCTCATCCCGATAGCGATCTCGCTTTCTAAAATCGGTGCTCGTTCTCGTCCCGTTTAAATCGGATTTTTTAGTAAAATTTAAATAAATAGTTTTAAAAAAGGTAATAGCTGTTGAAAATTCTGCAGTTGAGTTGTCGTTAATAACAACTGTGCAATAAAATTCATAACAAATCAAGATCTTTCCTATGGGACAATGTAATATACTGTATTCGTAACAGTTTTCAACATAGTTTTCCTTTTCTTAGTTTCTTCTGAAGAATCATAGTATCAAATACTCAATATCCTTCTAAGAAAAATTCAGACGAAATGCACCTCTTCACTTCATAGCTAAACTAATAGTGGAGGAAATAGTAGGGTTAAACATGGAAACGGCTAGCGGTGAGTGGCCGACCGAAGGGAGGCCGACGAATAGGTAGACGTTAGTTTTAAAGGTTGTTTTAAAGCACAGCTTTGAAATGAGTCTTAGTTAGTTCAAATGGTTTTTTGAGAGCACTTAATGAGTACTAATGTGAGAAAGAATTCGGCAGCATATCATTGTGTCAGAATAAAAAGAAATTGGAAACCATGATGAACAATACGTAGTGCTATCTAAAAGTTGGAAGTTTTCGATTGCGAATCGATATGTTATGAGTGAAATAGTTTTGATGCACGTGAAAAACCCTAATGTAACAAATGATAGATAGAAAAATGTAGCATAATTTGGTAACGGCTAGCCGTGAGTGGCCGACCGAAGGGAGGCCGACGAACGACTAGGCGTTGATTTAAATGGTTTGTCCTAAGTGTAGTAAGTGAGATTTGTGTTTTTTTGCGAAACTGTTAAGTGATTCGGTTCTTGAGCTAAAAAGAAATCTTAATTACACATTTGACCTAACAACACCTATTCAGTAAAGGACTTGTGAATGCAAACATGGCATTATTTGCTTGTTGTGGCGCGAGCAGGAATAGATATGCAGTTGTACGACCCTAAAAGGTTTTAAGAGCTGTTCGGGATTGTCTCATTTTAAATGAATTATTTTTTTTCGTATAGTCGTGGTTCGGAGTGAGCCGAAACATATACCAGTTTAGTTATTCTATTAAACTTGCTGAATACACTTTGGACAGAGAATCAATTTTTTTCATAACATCAATTTTCTTGATTGTTCGGGAATAGTAAGGTTGCTTTGCTAAGATAACTTTAAAAGTGTAAGAATTCTCGAATATACAACGTCACAAATCCTTAAACTCTTTGAATCAAGTCAGTTTTTCAAAAAATGAGATATACGGCTGCGACTGATCGTTTATTCCTCTAATTAAACATGAACTATGGTCGATTAAGATTTTATGATGAGAGCCTGTCCAGGTTTCTTTTGTTAATATGTATTCAAAATGAAAATCATTTTTAATGATAATCATAGGAAATCTTCTTTCAGAAAAGGGTCAGCGAATCCATCGGATGAGCGTTACTTGTTGTTTAATTTGTATTCTAGGTCCAACAACAGCTGGTCCAACCACCACAGGTGTAACTACTGAATCGACTATTCCTGTTTTTTATCCAGCAGATTTCGTAAGTTTCTATTTAATTATAATTGCTATTCTTTACATAAATATATATATTAGGAGAATGCATGTAAACAACCCGTTGCAATTATGTCAGCTATTATGATGATTGCTTTTATGCCTATACAAACTCTGGCAATGTATGCTGCTTTTACAAAATTCTCGAATACGTTCAAACCATCAAACACCGCTGCAAAAACAAGACATCAACAACGAATGAAAAATATTCTTAGACGTTAAAAACAGTTTTCTCTTGTCTCGAACATTTGACACTATTTTATTTTATTTCATAATCAATCTATTTATCAAGGTGTGAAACTAACCTTTTTTTTGTTCCCGACTAACATTTTTCTCTATTCTTCCCCAAAACTATTGGTTTGTGTGTGTTTTTTATTTGAATATTGACATTATACTAAGATTGACGTTTAATAAAATATATATGATTAAAAAATAAAGATTTTAAACTAAATCGTAGGATCATATATAATTAGAGTAATATCTGTAATAGAATCATTCATATCGCTGGAATAAAGAAAAAAATTGTTTTTGAGAATGATGTGAGTAGAACAGTATTGTTATAAATATCTATAAGATGTTGTCAAATAAATCTAACAGTTTAGTATAAATTTCATTAGAACTCGGGATGTATTTTGAGAGTATGAGTATATGTGGATTGATGAAAGTATATAATCTATTTTCATTATACCCACACCCACCTTATTTAATTAAATATTTAAAACCTATGGTATTGTATTCATTTGTATTTAATATGTCAAATATTGAAAAATTCACATTGATTTTGTAGTTCTTCTATTTGTTTAATTTGTATAGATTAAAAAAATATAACAAGACATTTTCTATCCACGCGTTTCGCTTTTTTATTGTGTGCAAGAGAATGCAAAAATTGTCATGAAGACTAATAGAATTTAAGTTGCATAGTGTGTTACTATTTAATGTTTCTCTTGGAACTATATTAATCGATATTTGTGCGTGATGTTATTGTGCATCTTCTACTTAAGATATCTGAGAACAAAATAAAAGTAGAAAAAAAATCGAAAAATATTTTTTGCAAAATATCTTAACGAATGACCATATGGATGAAGTTGATTATGATTTCATAATACAGATGAAAGGTGAATTTTCCACTCGATCAAAAACATATAATACAATAAAAATCTGACACGTTATATGTACATTTAATAATCTAGTATCAAAAAGTTTACAAGAGATCTTATCCTGTTCTACAGAACGTTGTAATAAGCGACTTCCAGGGAAATATTCAAAGTAGTAGATATAATACGCTCGTTGCCAAAGGGTTAAATGTAATCCTTAAAATATTGGTTATTTATAATATATTTCGTTAATCTTGCATCGAAATCAATATTTTTTATGTCGGAAACAAAATATCACCTTCAGATCGAAACTTAATCGTAATCATAAAATAAATATAAAATTCTATTCTATCATTTTATTACAAATCTTTTTTACAACATAACGATTATTCTACAGATTTGTTTTATGATCTTTATATATTTATTATCAAAGTTATCTGAATTTTTTATGTATTATTATATTACATCTATAATAAATCATGCGCGTTTTAACTGAATAAAGTTTTATATTTTATAATAAAACAGAGTAGAAACACTTATCTACATTTTATTTATTATTACTATAAAGAGTAAGAACATTGAGAATTTCTACGATAGTAAATACTTCAAATCATTGATAAAAATAAATTGATCAGAAAAATGACTTGAATGATAATCTTTATATTTTAGGCGCATTTCTATTTACCTTATCTTTCTACTGTATGTTTATATTAATCGTGTTTATCTATGTTAGTTATATTAGTAGACTTATTGTGGGATTAAATTTAGAAAAAAGAATAAAAAATATCAGTTATTATTATGATTGTGGAATATCAACACAGATTAATTCGACTTACAATATTGGCATGTCAAAAGCTCTGTTCGGCGCATGGCCATGGATGGCAGTACGTTTTATTATAATGTTAAATAGTTCATAAAAGAATATATAGAGTCTTCGACAAAAAGTGAATGAAACTAATAATACTGTACACTTCTGGTAAAATTCTCATTATAATATATTAAATCAAACCACAAGAATTGATTTAGTGGAGGTTCAATAATTGCTCCTCGATTTGTATTGACTGCTGCACATTGTTTCCATAATATTACAATACCAACAGATCCAAATTATGTTCGACGATTTGGTGAAGTTCATATTGGTCAACTTGGTTTAACTGAACAAGGCGAACGAATTGCTGAATGGTTCAAAGTAATTATTCCTGAAAAATATCGTCCATTTAGACCACATGATTATTCGTAAGAAAAGAAAATTTGTGTCAATACATATCATTCATATTTATATCTAGTTACGATATTGCTTTACTTGTTCTAAATAAAGATATAACTGATAAACAATACCCACCTATATGTTTACCATCGAATACTATCATTAGTAATATTGGAGATTATGGAAGTAAAAAATTAATAGATTTATTAATTAAATTTAATAGGAAAAAATATTTTAGCTATTGCTGGATGGGGAATTAATAATGAAGTTGGTATGGAAGCATCGAAATATATGATGCAAGTAACTGTACCTATTCTTGATCCAACAATTGATGCATGTAATCCATTACAATTACCTCGAAAAAATTATACTATGACTATATGTGCTGGTGTTTTAAGTGGTGGTATTGATGCATGTCAAGTATGAAAAAGAATTTGAAGTATGAAAAATAAAATATGGAAATGAAATGAATAGGGTAATTCAGGTGGACCATTTGCACAAAAAATACAAAATCGTTGGTATAATATTGGGTAAATCTATTGATGAATTAATCAAAGTTAAAGTATAGTTCATAACTTATGAATAGAATTCATTGAAATTGATTAAGAAGTTATTTTCGATCAAAAATTGATATTAATCTAATCAATAGTTTGTCAAAATTTTACATCTTCAATTATTTTACATTTTAAATAGTGTTAATGATAGGTTTCTAGTTGTTCTTCTTATTCTCGAGATATATTTTATTTTTAACCTTGATAATAGTTTTGCCTTTTTTTTCCTAATTGAAGATTCTTATCAATAGTTATTTATCAATTACTATAGATATTTTATAGATCTCATGAGCAACTCATATTTTTAATGAAATCAATACTAATATCATACATATTAAAATAAGCTTTATCTATATGATATTATTGTGTTCTATATTTGCTTGAATATATTTAACCGAAAATGAGCCATATTTTATTCATGCAGAAATTCATTTTTTGTCTTCATACACAATATATCTATATCCTAAAAGTAGATCATTTTATAAATAAATGAACCGAAAGTATATATATATAATAAAAATAAATAAAGTGTATCGCATAAGTTCATTTGATATATTGTATAATATATATATTTATATTTTAGTGTTGTTTCTCATGGCCTGGGATGTGCAAGAAAGAATAGCCCTGGTTTTTATACACGTATCAATGCTCATCTAAATTGGTTATGTGAAACAACTGCAAATGAAGGACACATATTGCCTATATGCTATGATGCCCTTTCAAATTCAAATCGATATATACATTATTTTAATTTGTATTATTATTATTCTATTTATCCATTGTTTTCTATCTTATCTTTAATTTTCAATTAATACACAAAAAAAAATAATAAACAAACAGATTATAATGTTAATACACACGCAAAAGCTAATCCATATACAAAACAAACAAAATGGCCTTGTGAATTTTCATTTTGTATGTCTGATTTATTAGCAGAATAATAGAAATAGATGACAAAAAAAAAGCGGTTGAACCTAAAAAGATATATGAAAAAAAAAAATTATCATGTGTTCGATGGCAAAAAAAAAAGAGAGAGAAGAAGAAGAAGAACAACGAAAACGAAGACAAAAAGATTGTTTTCACAGATAAAGGAAGAACAATGTGTGAAAAGAGTATTTAATAATGCAATTAGTTAACAGGCAAAGAAAAATGAAATGACAATAGTCTAGATACTGTAAACAGAAAAAGAAAAAAAACACACACAAACACACACAGTTTTCTAGAGCTAGAAAGAACAACAGTAAAAAGAATTTCATTTCTAATTATAATAATAGGAACCAAGAAGAAAGAAAAAATGAGCCGGTGTTATGTTGATCGTCATCGAGAATGTATCTAAGTTTAGTTTTTTATTGAAATTTTTGATTAAATAAAGCTTTTTCTTCTCCATTTGCATCAAAAAGACGTGTGACCATAGTTGTACCTGTACCCCATGTTTGAATACCTTCAGCTACTAATGTTTCTTTTTCATTTACTGAACCTTTACTTGCAGTACGAGCTAATATACGTACACGTGATCGTGATTTAAGTACAAAATTATCCGGAAATTTATAAACAATATCATCTTTGGCGTCAATTTTTCGTCGTAATGTCCAGCCTTTTAATTCTTGATCTTTGCCTGGTGAACCGGCATTCTCGATGACGATAAAATTACCTTGAGGATCTACCTGATCAATAGCAAGAGGGCCTAGAAAAAAATAAATAGAAAAAAAAATATATTGTTTTATTGTTTCAAAATCAAATCTTTTCTTATGTCAAATATAGAAAAAACAAATTTTTCAAAAAAAAGATCTAGAAATTAAAGAATTCTATAGCAAGCACATCTTACGTATATGTATATACTATATGTATGCTAATCTTTCACATAATGGACGGTATGTTGAAATAAAAAATATATTATGTCAATCAGTAATACACACAAATAAATCGATTGATATTCTTTTTTTGTGATGTATTATAATAGTAATTATAAGCAAAAAATAATTCACAAAAAACAAAAGTGATAATCATCAAGTTTTTAACAGTTCTTGTGTTTTTTTTTCAGCATGAGCTTCTATTATGTATAATTCAATGAGCAAACAAAGAAAAATATAAAAACAAATAGAAGATTAAAAAATATATTATAATTATAAATAAAAAGAGAAGCTCACACTTATACTTTTTATGAAAAGAAGAAGAATGTATGTGTGTATATATGATTTTCTTTCATTGAAATTCTAAATGAAAGATGAAAACATGCAGTCATTATTAGCCTGAAAATAATAGAATATAAACGAAATATCTTCTCAAGCTTAGAGAAAAAAAGATTGAAATTTGATTGATAGATAAGTTATTAGTTTTCGTTCTTTTTTTTTCAAATTGATTTGAAAAGATACAATTTCTAATCATCAAACCAACGAAATAAGATGTGAGTTTTTGATATGTACTATGTATTGAAACATATGTTGTAATTATAACCGTCCATCTGTGACTAATCGTGTGTAATGAGATAGATAGATGCTTGTCATTGCTAAGAAAAAGGGGCAATTGGCCGGTGGGATAGATGAGTAGGAACAAACAAAATGTCTCATCATGATCATTATTATCATTACTATCATTGAACGAGTAAGAGAACAGACAGTAAAACGATAGATAGATGATCAAACAAATAACAGTTGTCCCGCACTACTGCATCTCATAGGAGAAAGAAAAAAAAAAAGAGAGAGAGAGATATTAAAGAAAACATGCTGCTTTTCATTATTGTTGTTATTATTATTATTCTGATTACTTACAGCAGCAATAATAAAATAAAAGATTTGTAATACGAAAAAAGAAAAAGAGAAAAAAATATGGTTTTGTTTTCTATCGATCAAAAATGATGTTCTAGATAAGATGAAAAATATTATTTGCACAAAAATAAAATCATATGAAAAAAAAACGAAACTAACCTCGTGCCGATTTTTGTACGGTCATTTTCTTAGTTGAAACATCTGATGGTGTTGCTTCATAACGACCGGCCGTATTTCCACTAACTGATGATCCTGATTGAAAATGATATGATGATGTTGATGGACCTTTTGTACCACTAGTTAAACCTTCTCCATTTTCAATTCTTTGTAGATGACCTTCTTCAACTTCAAGTAAACGTCTATATGTATTGATTTCAAATCTAAGTGAAACATTATTTTCAAGTACAGCAGCAATGGCTTGTTCACGTTGTTCAGCTTGACCACGTAATTCAGCTAATTCTCGATCACGTTCATTTTGTGCTCGATTATGTTCGCCTGAAATTCGTTCAAAATTTTCTTCTAATTCTCGAAGTTCATTTGCCAAATCTGAATGTTCTTTTTGTAATTTGTTATAATTATCACGATTTTCAGATAATAAAGATTTTAATGCAGATAAATCCATAATTTCAACAGCACCTGTACGACGGGCTTCTTCAATTTTACGTTTTTGTTCAGCTGCTTGTTCACGAATTTCTTCAGTCTTAATTCGATAATATTCTAAACAAGAAATAAATTACAATAATAATTTCTTTTATTTTTTTAAATTACCTTCTAATTCACGTCGTTGTGCTTGTGAAAGTGCTTCAAAATCATTCTTAATATCCGCAATAGCACGTGTTAATTCCGTTCGATAAAATTGACTAACATCAATAGGTAATGTACCAAGTGAAGCTAATTCATTGCGTTCTTCTTCATGAACAGCTTTCATAAAAGCTAATTGTTCCTCTAATGTTTGTAATTCATTTTGTATCATAACACGTTGCATAGATTCTTGATCAAATTCATTTTTTAAATCTTCTAATTGTGCTAAAAGACGTCGAACTTCATCTTTACTACGATCAATTTCTTGTTTTTTATCTTCAAATCGATTACGTAAAGAATCTAATTCTGAACCAGAGCCTTCAAGTTGTTGTTTAAGCATAGTAAAACGATTACGATCGAGATTAACTAATTCATTAGCAAAATCAGTTTGATGTTTTATTAACGATGCATCATATTCAGCACGTTTAGCACGTAATTCAGCTAAAGCTTTATCACGTGTAACATCATCAATTTGTTTTCGTAATGAAACTAATCCTTGATCATATTGATCTTTAACTTTACCAGAATCAAAACCTAAAATATAAAATTTATTTTTGTTTTGTTTTGTTTTATTTAAATGACTTTACCCCATTTTTGTTTAAGTGAATCAAGTTCAGCTTGTAATTTACGATTTTGTGTTTCAAGAAATTTAACGCGATCAAGATATGCGCCAAATTTTGTATTAAGTTCTTGCATTTCAAGTTGTTCGCCTTCATGTTGTTTAGCTAACTTACGTACAGCTTCTAAACCACCAGCACGACCGCCAGCTGAATTATCACTAGCACGAATCCCACGTTCAATTATTGTTCGACGAATAACAGTTTGATCACGATCCGCAGTAGCCATAATTTGATCTTTTTAATTTATATTTAATGATGAGAAGAAGAAATAAATATATAAAAGACCAGAAGAATAAATGTTGATAGAAATCAATGAATATGTCTAAATGTTCAAAAGAGGTCAACTCAAGGTTCTTTAAATATACTTTATCTTATTCATTTTTCACTATATACAACTCTCATTGATACACATGAGTGAATTCATATGATATTTAACTATGTTTGTCTCGCGATCTCCTCTCGACGTGTATATATGTGATCGATGCGAAAGACAAAAAACGAGACTCTTTATGCTTATTCACCCTCTTGTTCGTCTCATTCGTTTATAAGGCCTTATTTAAAAAAAAACGAAAGAGAGAGAGAGAGAGAGAGAGAGAGAGAGAGAGACAGAGACAGAGAAAGAGAAAAGCATGAATAATCAGTGGACGCTTCTTTTCTTTCTTCCTTCTCTTATTTGGCTCGTCATACATCTAATTGTATACTTCTCTTCAACATTCCTCTCGTTTTCTCTCTCGCTTTCGTTGATATGACGATTGCTACAAAAAGTGAAGAGCACACACATATACACAACAAGATGAGGAGAAGATGGTGGGGGTGGACGAGATTGAAGAAAGAGAAAGAGAAAGAAAAGGTAGAAGGTATGCGGTGGGTGTTCGCGATGGTTAGCAATTAGAATTTACACATTCATTCATCTGTGCGGGTACACAATGATGGGAAAGAACAAATACTAAATAGCGCATATGTATTTTATCGTCTTCATATATATATATATATATATATTGTATTATTATCGTAACGGTTGTGCACACTTTTAGGCTTGTGAATATTATGGGAAATATTATTTTTTACTAAATACATAATCATATATATATATATAACTTGCTTACCTCACCTTTTTTCTATTCGTTAGTTAAAAACTTAAATAGCCATATGAGTAATATTAATAGACTATTCTCTATATTCTATTATTTAATATAAAGTAGAAAAAAAAACACGCACACAGATACAAGAAAAACTATCCAAAAGAAAAACGAAGTACAAGATGCGAACGAGTATACGTGTCTTTTTTTGTGGTAGTGTGGTTATTTTTTTCTCTTTAAATAGTTGAAATTATTCGTGCAGGCGTAATAAAAAGAAATGAGATAACCGCGATAATAAAAAAAAGAATGAAGAGAAAAAGAAAACAAAGATATGTGCGTAATCAGTTTAGTAGTTTTAAGAATAAATCTTAAGATTCCTAAGCATACGAGATGAAATGTATAAAAAAGATAATGATTTTCTAAACAAGGAAATGTCCTTCAATACATACTATTAATATAAAAATTCAATATTTGAAGAGTTCTTCACTATTTTTCATTTATTTATATATATATTGACATATGCATTTTGTCTGTCTATCTTAACTAACCAACTGATAGGTGACTCTCAAGATGTTGATTGTTACTAGTCATGTCTGTTTCTTTTTCTTTCTCTTCTCTTCTCTGTCTTCTTCTTTTCTCACTCTCCCTCTCTCTCTCTCTCCTGTTCGCTTCTATTATGCTGCTAAGCAGCTCAACTACCCAAGGGTCTCTTCTTCTCGCTCTCTCTTCCCACTTGAAAAATAAGAGTATACCTACAGGTGAATGCAGCGATTGTGTGACCAAGCAATATGTTTATCTTTGTGTTACACCACTTCGCTTGTATTTAGTCGAAATGGTTGTTGTTCCAGTTCAGGTAACATACACATACATTTATTTTTTCTACTTGGTCAATCACATATATAGAGATTCTCTCTCTGTGTCTCTTTCTCTCTCTCTCTCCCGATCGATTCAATACAAACGCTTCCAGTTAAGTAAATCTGACTTATATATGTCCAATATAGGACACTTATAATGAAACAATGGCAGAAAAGAAAGAAAAGAATGTAAAAAATTTTGCGGTAAGAATTAAAACAATAATTCGTCATCGGTTCACTATTCCTATACTCTTTCTTTTGTTTCTTTTGACAGTATAAGTGCGCATGCGCGCTTGTACTTGTCATTGAGAATAAGTCTGTATGCTCTCATTTGATGTACGACTTTTTTGCATATGTGTGAATGATCATCACTCATCGATCTCATTATATATTAGCCTAATATTATATTTCATAGTGTCGGTGACCACTCTGCTTTCTGTATTAAAACTTACTCGAATGTGTATGAATAAGAAGAAGAAGAAAAAAAAAGGAATGATGAAGAAAGTAAAAAATTAATGAATACATATAAAACTATATAAGCATTAGAAAACATGGTTAGAAAAAAGCCTTTTTAATTGATAGTGACTGCCGAAATACAAACAAGAAAAATACACTATGCATTAATGTGACATTCTCTCGTTAGAAATAAAAACAATAATTGACTTGAGAGTCATTTGAAAAGCTACTACTTACGAAAAGAATATATATATTTTGATGGTTGTAAAAGGCCAAGAAAGAAGAAGAAGAAGAAGAAGAAGAAAAAATAAAAACATAAAATTTAATATATGAGTATATCTATATGACTGACATTGTTGTATAGATGGTAGACAACCATCATAAACGATTATATATATTTGGTTAGTCTTCTATCTCAATGTATTACAGTAAATTTAAGGTTTGCTTTAGTTTTTTACAGTTCAATTGACCGACTCAAATTGTTAATAAAAGGATATTGGAAAAGGAGGACCTAGACATAGATAAATTGAAAAAAAAATCAATAAATGATGTGACGAGTTCAAAAACAAAAATCAATCAATAATATCAAAGCACATTTGGTATAAATTATATACACATGTTATTTTACTTGTCTTCTCTCTCTCTCTCTCTGTGTTTCTCTTTTAAACAAAAACTATATAAATGTAATATATATACCTTTTTTTTGCTCTCTCTCTGTCTTCTTAGCAAGAAGATGTTAGTTTATTCAAATATAGACAAATGAATGTTTCTTCTTGTTGTATTGTTGATACTAAAAATAACAAATTAATAAAGAAAAGAGGTATTATTATGGTTGTTATTGTTTATGTCTATACTCGAACATAAAAGTAAAGAAAGACGTGTGAAAATTCTTTTTTTTGTTTTTCAAAATATTTTATATCTATTAACATAAGGTAAGATTATATGGGACGGGGGGATATGCATATTTTAATATTCTTAAGATTATTTTTTGTTTTATCATTTCTTCGTTCTTTTTTTCTTTTTTTTGACTTACCAAACAAATGCAATATAAGTGTAAGAAGTTGAAGAGACAACAAAGATGTGTTATCTGAAACTGAAGTAAAAAGAGAAGAAGTCAAATATGTTGGAAGAAAATAATAAACGATCTTGGTGTAACAAATGACAGCTTTAACTCAGGGACAGAACTTGCATTTTCTTTATATACATATGTATGGGTTGTTATTGTTACATCTTTTTTGTTCTATGTAATTCAATGTTAGATTATTAGTAAAGGGAACAAAATCATTTACAATGACATGTGCTAGAGAGAAAAACAATATTTATCTATATGAAACAAGAATATTAATTGATTGGTAATTTGAAATTTGAGATAACTAAGATTTTGAAAGCAATACTTTATATGCAAAAATATAACATTCTCATTGTTCGTATAAAATAACTGATGTTCATAAGTAAATATGAATAGTAGACAGAAATCTTATAAAAATTTGTTCATTCTTCAAATGAAAATAAATTTTAAATATCAGATCTAACATGATCATGAATAAATGAATGAAATAGAAAACAATAACATTATTGGTCAATACACATAATCTTACCTACTTCTAGAGGCTACTCAGTGAAACACTTTAATCATTCACTGTATGCATACCAAAAAAACTAAACTAAACTATTGTCATTTTTCGTTCACAATACCTTGAAAAAGTTCGTTCAAAGCTTAGATATACATATAATATATTCTAATATATTGACACACTGTTGAGTACTCTATGCATAAATGTACGAACGAGAAAAAAAAAACACTCAAATTATCGGATGAATTGATTACATAAACCAACACTTTCGTATATATATATATATATATTAAATAATAAATTTCATTTTTCTCTTCTATATTTCTTCTTTCAAATATGAAATACAAATTAGCAAATCATGAATATATGTATATACAAAAAAATATAAAATAGACGCAAAAAAGTATTATGACACATCTACATGTACAACATAAGATAAAATATTTAAATTTTGTTTTTAAAACCAAAGACTATCTAAAGTATTGAAGCGATCTAATGAATAAGCAGCTCGGTCACTACGTGTCCATTTGCTTAAATCATGTGCATCACCACCTAAACCATATTGTCCTTTGTATGAACGTAATTCTTTCATAAAATCGAATGTTTCTGTATCACCACAGTCAATTTCATCTTTATCAATTGAAGCTGCATGTTTCAATGCATTCCAAAGATCTTGATCGAAATCGGCTGGTTTTTTCTTGAAATCAATTGAAGTTTTTTCCATAATAAAAACCCAATTACAATAAACAGTCTAAAAAAAGAAAATATTTTTATGTTTTAAAATGATGAAAGTTTTTTCAACATACTTGAAGAATATTTGTATAAGCGCTACAAACATCGCCAATTGTTAAAAAATTATAACCAACAACAAGTGCTCGTTCTAAAACTTGTTTAAAATTTGGTATTTGTTTTGAAACTGTATTTAATTTTTTTAATAAATTTTTATCGGTATTTTCAACTTTCTTGAACATGATCTGTGGTAATAAACCACGAAGAATTGTAACATAACAAGCACCAATAACACGCATAATTTCACCAAAACGTTCTCCATCATCAATACCACTAATTCCATCTGTATAATCAAGTAAAATACTTAATGCTTCAATACGACGAAATCCAAGAACGTAATTTATTTTATCAGCTGGTTTACGTACATGATTTAATCTTGCTAAAATACCTTGTTGAACAATAAAAATAGCTTTTGTTATATCAAGAAGACAATTTTCAACAACTTCTAATTCACCATAACAACTAAAATCATTATGAATATACATTCCAAATGCATCTGGATTAACATGACGAAGAACTTTACGATATTTTTGATTCCAAAAACGAGCTGTTTTAGATATTATAAATGGTTCATTTTTAGGACCAGCATTTTCATAAATAACATATTGTTTATTTGTTGGATGATCTTTACCATTATCATCAGCTGCTTGTCGTTGTTCTTCTTCGTTGTCGCTAACGACTTCCAGTTCATCAACATCGCTATCATCAGTAGTGTTATCAAGTACTGGTTCGATGATTTTTACTGGTGATAGTACTGGTGGTGGTGGTGGCGGTGGTGGTGATGGTAAACGTTCTGGTACTTTTGTTTTCGTACTTTGACGTGTTTGACGTTTTGGTATATTTTCTTTATCAACATATTTTTCTTCAATTTTGGGTTTTTTTGTTGAATTTGATTCATTAGTATTAGCACGTTTCGATGATAAACGTGTTAGAACAGATGATGATTGTTGTTGTTGTTCATGTTCCGCTCCTTTATTTTGAACAGAAAGATGACGTTTTGACATTTTGTTAACGATTGTGAAAGGAAGTGATTTAAAGGTTAAATTTGATTGAACTGACTATAACATAGATAACGACCGAAAACGACATTTAAACGAACAAAGAACATAGCATTTATTATCATCATTGGATGAAATAAATACGTGCGGTAGAGGGCACAAAATAATTGTAAATAAGGAGGCTTAAGTGTATGCCTTTGTTCCTTTGTTTTCTGTATCCCACAAATAATTCTTAAAAAATATCATCATATTCGAAATATGTTAGATTTACTTTTATGATATTTTAATTTATCAAGATAATATGTCGTCATAAATATATACTCTCGACAAAGACTTACTGTTAAATTTGTACATCTCATGTCTTATCAAGATAATTTCTATTTGTCTTTCTCCTGTATTAAAAGAATACATTGAAACGAGTCGACAAGAATTTGTTTCGCATGGTCAATATAAGACAGTATCATAAAGATGAGATGATTGAAAGTGATAACAACGAAAGAATTCATGTTCTTGTTTGAAAAGCAGGTCAATTTTAAACTTTCAATTCGTTTAAAAAGCATGTCTGCTTCACCCATATCCTTTTTTTGAATTTATGATAAAAATCTCAAGAGATTTGATTTCATTATTGAAGCAATAAAAACATTCGATGTCATATACTACTTTGATATGAAAAACGAAATTGTGTTCACCGTTATTTTCTATACATATGTAGAAAATGTTATAGAAGAAACCATATTTACCATTCAAAACATGTGCACATAAAATCAAATAAAATTTCTTTTTTTTCTTCTTCTTCTTACATCTTGAAAGCAAATACAAATATAACACTTAATAATGTCTGATAGAATCGAAATAATATGTATATATATATTCTATAAATATTTATTCTTTAATTTATGAAATTATTTTTGTTTAATTAGAAAGAATAAAAATGAAAGAGAAAAAAAAATACTTCAAATAGATCTAGTTGCTATCTATCGTCATTACAAGAATGATGAGATTATATAAATTAAAAAAGGAAGAAAACAAATATTTTTCTTTTTTTCCTTTTTAGATTATTTTTTCTTCGTTTTGTTTTGTTTTTTTGCTTTTTAAATAGTAGCTAAAATAAGGTTTAATTGACGATTAATATGTCTAGATAAAGTTTGTGAACGATGCTGTACTTTTTTTGCTCGTTCACAAGCTTCGTTTAATACATTCAGATCATATTCAGTTGGATTCTTAATAAAAAAAATAAAATATAATCATTTCTATTAGATTTAATACTCATATAACTTACTTCTTCTGAATCACTATCAGAAGATGTTACGTCAATATAATGACGATGTCGAATGATTTTTCTTAAATAATTTAAATAGAATAATTTTTATATTTAATTCTATATGTACCTGTTTCCACTTTCATAACCAGGATCGTCTATATCAGTTGAAATTCGTCTTGCAGTTGAATGTATATGATGACTAGAATGAAATAGAGAGATTTCAGTATTTTTTATAGATCAAGTTGAATACAAACCGATGTTGATATGTCGTCATACTACCACAATCAGCACATTTATATAGTTTGGTAGATGAATTCGGTTGAGAAGCTGGTTGATAATATGTTACTGTTGAAGTTTGATTTTTATTAGGTACATATCGACTATTTAAATAGAATATTGAATTTTTTATCATAGTAATTAATTTTTACTTACTAAACAGTGCCTGTATGAGGATCTAAATAAAGATTATTGGTTTGTGTATTATACTGTCGTTGATTTTGATCAAGTTTGTCTTGTGATCGTCGATGTGTATGTGGTTCATCGATATAACATGCACTTCTATACATTTTTTCCGGATTTGCTGATGATGATGCTGTTATTTGTCGATGAACAAAACCAGTTTGATATTTTCTACCCGTTTTATGTTGTTGTTGATGATGATGATGATCTATTTTTGATGTATCTTGTGGTGCTGTTTGTGGTCGATGTAAACTGCTTGTATAATTATGTGCGCCAATACTTTCTGTTGACATACTTCGATCAAAAGTTGTTGAACGTGATTGATGAGAATTAACCTGTGGTGATTTTAAACTCGGATGACCATCACGAGGTTTTCTTTTATGTGATGATAATTGTGGAATTCGATCAAATGAATCACTCATGTATGCTTCGTTATCTGATGGATAAAATTCTGTTTGTTTTTTATAAATGAGAATAAAATGAATTTAGATAAAAGACAAGAATTTTTGTTTCTACCTGATTGTCCGGTAGGTTTTCGACGATAGCTTTCGTTAAGTGGTTTCAATGATGACAAAGTGTCGAATCTTTCTGTATATTTACTTTGAAAAAGAAATGTACAAATGTAATCATAAATTTGATGTAAATATAGTTGAAGGACGGGAGAGAATAAGAGTAGAGAAAAAAAAATAAAATTCTTTGCTTTTCTTTTTCTTCGTTTGTTGATTGACTTTATTAGATTTTATTTTATTTTTTTTTTAGTTCGAAATTATTACTCACGATAAGCTATAGAAAAAAAGAAAAAAAACTTACTTATAAGGAATTCCAGGGCTTACTGCACCGGAACCACTTGAACGTGATGATGATACACTTGACATTGTTTCTTAAAAAACAAAGTATATAAATTAAAGTCTTCTTGTCTTTTCTTCTTAGAGTAGTAGTTGAATTACCTCGTTCTTCATCCGTATATCGTCGTCTATCTTCATCAATTGATTGATAATGACTTTCATCCATCATAGTTGTATTTAATTTACTAGTGAAAAGAAAAGAAAAAGAATTTTCCTTTTGTTTGATTAAACATAATCAGATTACCTATCACGACTTAATTTAGTTGTATTATTTGTACCAAGTCCACTATCGTAATCACTTGTACGTGTTCGCATTGATCTAGTAGAATAATGTGCACCATGTGTACCATTAGAAAGAGATGTTGGACTCAATTCATGTTCAGATCCATAATTATCCGTCGTTTTCTATAAGAATTATGAAAAACGAATTTTATTATCTTTGTAAGAATTAAGTTCATTTACTCGTTGTGTTTCAGATTTAGGTTTTCGTTGTGATTTCGTTATATTTTCAAGATTATCATATTCTTGAATTTCTTGTTGATGAGGAGATTTTTTTTTCTTTATTGTAGATATCATATCATGTATATGAGCTTCTCTTTCATCTATTGGTTGATGATGATGATTAATTGCTGTTAATGGATTGTATTCAAGATCATATGAAGTCGATTCAATGGCTTTTTTTAATTGAATAGGTGTAGTTCTTTGACTTCGCTGTTGTTCATCGTCGGAAATCTTTTCATACTTAAAAGAAAAAGAATTTATTGTCTGCCTTTTATATGAATAGAAGACTTAGATAGATGAATTCGATACCGAACCGAAATCGCTTTGGCATCTAATGGTTGATATTTAACATCAACTCTAACAGTTGGAATCATTCCTTTTTAAGTCGACTATCGATTTCATTCGTGAATTATCTAACTACCATCGGAATTTTTAAAGAAGGCCATTCGAAGAAAAGCTTAGAGCTTTCGAATGGAAAGTCATAGCGACTTGCCGGTTTCACTATTTAATAGTAGGTAGTTGGGGGCACATGCCTATGCGTGAAAAATACTTCTGTAGTTTCATAGGTATTTTTTAGAATAGTATGTAAAATAATTCGAAGATTTTCTTTTATAACATTTGAAAGAGAAGAGTATGACCTACAAAAACAGCAAAATAAATAAAAAAACAATTTGTATGAAAAATTAGCTATGAATGGTGCTTTGGCGAAGTATTTCTCATGCATAGGCATGTGCCCCGAACTATCTTCTACTGAACCTCCACCAGTCTTCTTTAAAAATTCCGATACTAGTAATTATGACTATTGCTCGTATTTATATTTAAATCTATTCAAATACATCTAGTAAATATTTTCTTCGATTAATTAGACAAAAGCAAACTTGGTTATACCCCAGATGGATAGAAATATTGTTTTTGATTTTTCATTGTTGGAGGCAAATGGCCGGATATCTCTAATTGAGGTGAAGTTCTGTTTAAAAGAAAAAAATATATGTAAAAAAGTCCGATATAAAATTTTTTTCTTTACGTTGTTTTCGTTGATTCTAATCCATTGGGTAATTTTGTATGTGATAAATTTTTTTCATTTTCTTTATCTGAAATTCCCGTATTAACAGCATCTAATAATTTATGATATTGATCCATAAGATCACCATGATTACATATAGATGATCGAGCAGATACTTGACTCTATAATTTAAATTTTGTATAGAATATTTAAAATAAAAATCAATTCCTTTATTTTTACCGATTGACTTCCACTTTGTCGATCACTGTCTAAACCGTTACCTGATTTACCAAGTAAATTATCAGTTATTCGTGTAACAATTTCTTTTAATAATTGTTTCATCATTTCTAATTCCGTATTTAAATCTCTAAAAACAAAAAAAGTCGTAATCGATAAGAAACGAAAGATTCGATTGTCTTACGCATCAAAATCAATATCACTAAAATCAGTACCGTTTTTTGATCGATCAAATACTTTTAATAATTTTTCATAATCATCTTTAATAGTATCATAAACTTGTTTTTGTTCAGATAAACTTAATTGATTAGCATCCATTAACGTTATAAATGATTTCATCTATAAAATATCAAAAAACAAAATCTTATAATACTTAATTTTCTTTATAAAATCAATGATTTATTTACTTTTCCACCTAACGATTTTGTTTGATGAAGTAAATCAAGTTTAACTGTTTCTGGTGTTGTTAATTCTTGTACAATGATATTTTGTGGAACAGATTCATCGAAAAAGATCGATTCTATTGTACCCGAATTAGCTGGTGATGCGCCTAATTAAATAAATAGAAAAAACGAGATGTTCAATTCTTTTTATCTATACATAGTTTTAAAATTATGAATTCGATAAACAATTAGTAGGAACATATAAGCGAGTTAGTATTTCTGTGGCACTTATCAAATTTCGATGGAAGAAAAACTTCGTTGAACTATGAAGAATATGATTCCGCTGAAAAAATAAGTTCATATCAGCTCACTAAATTCATTCTGATTATATAATTCGTTTTTAAAAGAAAAAGATGACTTATTGAACATTTCGTTATATTCGATATAATAAGAGGAAGTTATCAGAAACGTAGGATTAAGATGAAATCAAATTAAAAAGTATTATATATATAGACCTATGAGATATTTTAGTAGAAGTATGTATGCTGCGTAATAAAAAACAAATTTAAGTATTGAAATAAGAAAAATAAAATTTGTTAAAAAAAGCTTATACATTTATCTGTTTATTTAATACTGCCTAACATAGCAACCACTTTATACGTGGCACCTGTCTGTCACTATGGGCAACTGTCTATAAGAGGTAATAGGTACTTTCAAGAATCTCAATTATAATTTCATACTTACATGTTTATATCTGACTTATCGCATAATTAAACTTAATTGTAAAAGAGAGAAAAAAAAACTCGTAGTAGTTTTGATCAATAAAAGTGCTACTTCATTTAAAATAAATATAGCCAAATCTAACAAAATAATTATACAAAAATTCTTTCTTCTATCTTTACTATTTCTTAATCATTTATATACCTGTTTCATATATATATAAATAATCTGTTAAAATCGTTACTGTATTGTATTAAATCAAGGTTTGTTGAAAAAGTATGTTCACCGTTTCTCTTTTTACTATTTAAACGTGCCGTTATATAAAAGAAAGAAAAAAAGAAAGTTCGATTGAATCGATTTGACTCTTGAGATTTTGTTTGTAGGGCAATATATATATCTACATATGAAAAAATAAATTTCTTTCGTTTTTAAATCATCACCGGTTTCACACCATATTCAAAAGAAAACCGACCAATGAATGAAACACTACTTTTACATATATATATTTTAAAATTTTTAAAATGAAAATAAAAAAAGACATTCAAATGATTTTTTTTTCTTGAAATTAATCAACTAGAAAAATATCTATCTAACATTTTTGTAACATAAAACTTTTCTATTCACCATCTCATTAAGTGTAGAATATATTAGCATTGTTTTATTTTCAATCTTTCTGTTTGAAGGTCAGGTGAATAGAAAAAATCTTTACTTCAATCGGAATATTCTATATCAATTATCGACTCTTTTTATTCAAACGATATGTTAGAATTTTGCTTCAGAAGAATATCTAGTCGATTTCTTCTTTGACAATCAAAACAGGAATAAATCAGCTTTCTTTCAAATATATTGGCGAGCTCTTTTTAAAGCTTTCGGATACGATCAACTATTTCTATAAGTAGAAATAGATTGAAGTGAATACATTAAGTAGTATCAAAATGAGTTTTAGATGGATTTAATTTGACTTATTACAATCGATTCTCAAAAGATTAGATTAAATTATTACTTTTTGGAGCTGGTGTATTCGTTGTTGCACTTGTTGCTGATGAAGGTACACGCATTATAGATGAAAGTGGAGTACCAGGTGTTGAATGATAAATTCCACTTGATCTCAAAGTTGATACATTCATTTTAGGTTGTTGAATAAAATGCATTATACCCTGAAAAAAATTAAATTATGATAGTTTTGAAATGAATCTTATATCATACTTCGGATGCATTTGATGATGGTGTACGATCACCTACAATCTTCGGTTGAAAACGTAATTGATCAATTGTATTTTCTGCTTGAGCATATTTTTCTAATAATTCTTCATAATTTTCATGAAGTTGATTTAATAGTTCTCCTGTTTTTTTTCCATATCGTTTTTGTTCTTTTAATTTTATTTTTAAATCATCTTCTTTAAGATTATTAGTGTCTGATTCTTCTTCTTCATCATCACTAACTGCTAAAGGTATACGTTGATGTTTAGCTGATGGTGTATTACCAGCTGATGATACTGTTTTATCTGTTGATGCATATGTTTTACGATGAGTAATTGGAGTAAATGGAGAAACTTGTGTAGTAGTTTTACTTAAAGCTTGTATAGAATCTGTTGTTGATGGCTTTTCTGATGTTTTTGATGTTCCTGATCGATCAGCAGAAGTAAAGAAACGAAATGCACCTTTACTTGTTGTTGTTGTTGTTGTTGATACTGGCACAGGTATTTTTGATGAAGCTGTCGGTGAATGAAGAAGTCTATAGTAAATAATATGATAAAATATATTTTAAGAAAATCAACTATCTAACCGATTTCTAGCTGTTGTTGTTGTTGTTGATGCCTTCAATCTAGGACTACGTGATCTTGATTGAGATGATGAATTTGTTCGAATAGGAATTTTTGAAAGAGAACCTTGGGTCTCTTTATTTGTTATTGATGCACGTATTGAAGATGTATTTGTTTTAGTTTGTGATAAAGGTAATGTTGTCTTCATATTATCTAGATTGGATATAGAATGAAGTTCCTGTGCAGTTATTGTTGTTGCTGTAAAATCACTTGGTAGTGTTGAATGGATTTTATGTGATTGGTATTTCTTATCAGCTACACTACTGGATTTATTTCGTTCGGAAGAAAACTATAAAGAGGACAGAAGAGAAGAAAAAAAAAGGAATAATAGACGTATTGATTTATGTCGTAAAAAGAAAGGCAATGACTCAAAGCATAAATTTAATCGGTCTATACTCTGAACAAAAATGTGGCAATGAAGTGAACTTGAAAGCATATTAATGCTTCGATGTAAATCATTTCGTTGCATTAAAAAGGAAAAAAAAAAGAAAATCTTTCTTTTTTTTGAAACTTCATTTCTCATCTAGTATTTAGTTTTAAATATTGATATGTTCTTATATAAAAATAAGCTATTAATTATTGACATCCTCATCTATTCTTAAAATAAATACACTTACTAATCGATCTTGTTTGGAATCTTCGAATAATGTTTTATTACGTTCTATTTCTAATAGTGTTGCTTCACCATTATTAATTATTTTCTGTATTTTATTTTCATCTATAGAACGTTTTTTTGGCCAACTATCGTCATACAATGTTGGTTGTCGGGTTAAAAAAACTGATCGTGTATTATTTGAAGAAGTAACAAGACCTTTTTTCTTCTCATTAACATCGTCATCATGATCATCATCATCAATTTGACTACAACTGTCATCATGATCTGAAGGACATTCTAACATATCGTTATCGTTTTGAATTGTTCTCTTTTTATAATATTTAACGTTGATATCGTTGTCGTCGTCGACGTCACTTTGATCACTTTTTGAATCGTTCTCTGACGATGAACTTGAGCTATTACTTTGACTATGTAGTAAAAATGAAAATGATGATGGCATAATGGCGGTAAAAGTGCTCTTTTATGTACTATGCATTGATTCCATGTATATCTTAAATAGAGAAAAAGAAGAAAGAGAAAAGAAAGAATGTAAAAGTTCATTATTCTCCTTTTTTGCGATCGCATGTATGCATCATTTGTAATGAACAACAGGTGATGAGAGAAAAGGTTGAAATGGGAGAGTAACAACACTTGATCCGTTCTGTTTCTTCTAGGATTTTGTTTGATTTTCATTTGTAAAAGAAGTAAAAAATGAACGAGACACATACACATATATGTATGTTATAGAGCACAGTTCTTCTAACAAGAAATAAATGTTTATTGAGAATGAAACTTGAACCTATATATGATACTTTGGGAAAGAGAATTTTTATAATTTCTGTTACTTTACTTGTATGAGTCTGATAAGAATAAAAGAAAGAAAGAAAAAAAAAAAAGAAAACATCTTTTCTTAAGTATAAAAATAATATTTACATGGATGAAAATCCTGTTCTGTACATATGAATGTATATTTCGTCGCCATTTAAATACATGTTGTTATAGTTGCAACCTCAATTTTTCTCTTGAAAACGTTTTAAAGGTTTCAAGCAGTAGTTAATTTTTGTTAATGTAATTTAGAAAAATTCACACTTGAAATTGTTTCATATGTATGAAATGCTCTTTTGCCTCGTTTGTTTTTTCTTATTAGAAGTTTATGCAACACAATCTTGATCAGAGAGCATTATTGGTAAACTTTGAGAATAAGATCGATTTGATCAAAAAAAAGAAAGAGAAAAAAAAGATGAAGAATAATTGAATTGATACAACTTCAGTGAATTAAAATTATGTAAATTAAGTAGATAAGAAATACTTATGTTACGTTATTTCAAGAATAAAATTACATGATAACATAGTGTGCCCATTTGTTAATAAAGACTCACTTTACAGTTTCAATGAGTTTTGAAGTATTCTTTGTTATTATAAGACAGTTATACTTTACCAATCTTGTACAAGACATGAAATTGTTATCTCAAAGACATAACCATTTCTTTTATATGGTTCTATTTGCAGATGCACTAAGACTATTGCAAGTAATATAGATCGATAGACAGAGAAAACATAGAGATGAACGTTGATCAATCAGTTACTTATTACTATACACTGAAATTGTAATGCAATGAAAAATATCATTAACAGTTCATAGAAATAATACATAGGGAGAAATTAATATATGAGAATTTAGAACTACAGTTATATTTACTTATCTATAAAATAATTGATACATTAGCAGTTAGAGAAAGTGTTTTAATTATTTCATTTAGTCTATCATACTTTTCCTCATATATGAGCACGGGTCGACAAATATTCCATTTAGTCGTGTAAATATTTGAATAACAAATAATAAAATTATGTTTTAGAAAAAGTGTTAAAAGAGTTTATTTTCAGATAAGATACATATTCTATGTTGATAAATTCAACACACTGAATGAACTAATATGATTCCATCTGTGACTACAGTAGCATATAATATTGATAGCTTGCATAGCTTTGAGAACTTGAACTAATTATAATATAAAAAACACAATTCAAACTGATTTTATACAAAAATCAGAGAAAGATATGATTCATTCAATAGCTCTAAAATTTAAAGATTTATCATCTTTATAATAAGAGTATGAAACGAGTACCATCCTAAAAACTAACGGGAAATTCGTTGACCTTCTACATATGCAACGTTATATTTAATGCGATGTGACGTAAAATATTTATGTAATCCTGTACCAGTTTTCTTCCTTTCTTGACGTGTGTATTAGAAATTCTCATTACCTGTTTAAATGCAAGATGAATATATCAAGATCCAACTGATATCATTCGTTAACAGGAAGTATCGCAAAAACATAATTTTGACTATGGACTTTTGTTGGTACTGATCATTCACTGTTTTCCACCGTATAAGTGAAGATCCATAATTCGTCCTCACGAGTCTTCATCGTTTCAGTTTACTTATTGAAAATAAATCTTTTTAGATGAACAGAATTGTATTTATTAGTTGAGTTTGCATCGAATAAATATTTTATTACAAATATTGCTATCTGTCATAAACAATAAAAATGATTACAGCTTCTTGTTCTTATTATACAATGAATATGTACACTATATAGTTGTATTCGAGAAAAATGACTTATGAACGTCGTTGACTGAATTATAGATATGATTATGTAATGATTGTATAACTATTATTTAGATCATTTACTCATTTTTTAAACATCTTCAAAAAAATACTGCTAATTCGTCCATCATTCTAAAGTAATTCTTAATACAAATCAAACTAAAATTCTCCTTTATAAACACTAAAATATTTTCTGTAAGTTACCCAACAATGAATGACAATAATCTGTGAATATTTGAGATTTTCTTATAACGCAAAGTTTATATACAATTCATACTATATAATATTGTACTTCTTGAGAATATATAAACAGAAGCAAATTATAATATTTACTCTTTAATGATTTTTCTCTGGAGATTTTTCAGAACATTGTATAAATGAATGGATTATGCTTTGTTTTAACAATACAAACTATTCTTCATCTGAGTGATGTTGACAATAGAATATGATTATCTCGGATATAGTAATAGAAAATTATCATTCATCTAGTAAGAATATATATGACTTCTTTTTTACCCAGAAAACTATCGATGCATTTAGTCCTGATTATATCATGTATCAATAAATACGTATTTGATGTAACAATATTTATATACTCTCAAAAGCTATTTCACTCTACATTGTATTATTGACCTATATATCTATGTCAAAAATAGATATAATATATTTTATTGTATAAGCACATTTACAATATCTTTGCATCGCTTTTATTAGATAACACGTATATGAACTGGAGCAACTTGAACTACTGTTTTCTTGATTCTTCATGATCATCACAATGTAGTTTTATACAATTGTTATATCTTTATGCTATTCATGATGCCTATTTGTTTGATGAAATATATCCTACTTACTTGTCAATCCATTCATTTTCATTTTGTTTCAACAATTCTCCACATGACCATTTCTTCTACGGCAAACGACTTATCTGCCTTTCTTTCATCACTATGCTACAAAGCTACCTCAACATCATTATACGGTTTCATATAATACTTCATAGAAAATTACTTTCAATACATGTTACACGATATCAAATTGAGTAAAAAAATAACATAACTAAATATAACAGGGCTGTTGCGTATATACCAAACCACTACAAAACTACTGTTTTCGTAGTTACGAAATAGTTCTATACTGAGTTTCTTTTAATCTCTGAATAAATCCTTGATAATTCAGCTGTTCAACTACAAGGACCTAAGAAATTTTACAAAACTAAAACAATCATACTCGATTCAACACCGGTTCATACTGTACATTTTACGGTTACGCATTATTACAGGAAATATTATCTATATCAACATTATTGGGCAAGATCCTTTTCTTTCATACTACTGCAAAGAACATCACATGTTTTCACAAGTATCGGAGGGAACTTTCTATTATTCGTTCTCACACGAAACGATCTTTCAGCGTTCTGATACTATCAAACAAAACCTTTTCTGCCTCACCACACTGAAAAAGAACCTTTCAGAGTACCAATACCGTTACAGAAAATCTTTTCTGAGTATTGGACACGTTGCACACTAACAACACAGTTCTTCAAAAGCTCTCTTTTACAAGAACACGATCATCCACCTCACCAAATACAAGAAACTCTAAGCAACCACTATCATCACAATACGGATTAAATTTCAAAACAATCAAATGTATTTTGTATCTCAATCAAAATCATAATACAAAACGAAATACCAAGACCGTTAACACCCACTATTTTCTTTTTATCAAAATACACCTAATATTCCTATTCACGTTTTTCTTCCTCGTTCCTCTGTCCAAGTAATTCATAGATTGCTTTTAATGCACCATCACATATCGAATTTCCACGAAGATCAAGCTCGGTGAGTACCTAGATGAACAAGTCGACACCAAGACATGATATAGGTAAAGAGAGAATAGAAGTTACTGTGTTGTGTTGTAATGCATCAGCCAAAGACTGTCCACCAACATCTTCGATTCGATTCTCGGAGACACTTAGTGTTGTGAGTGTCTAGATGGATAAGTGGAGGAAACGTCAGAGTATAAACAAGGCGAGAAAAAGAGTTACTGAGTTGTGCTTTAATGCATCACTTAAAGATTGTGCTCCAACATCTCCGATTTGATTGTCCCAGAGAATTAGTGTGGTCAATATCTAGATGAAAAAGTGGAGATAAAGACATAATAGAGATAAGGAGAGAATAAAAGTTACTCTGTTGTGCTTTAATGCATCACCCAAAGATTGTGCTCCAAAATCACCGATACGATTCTCAAAGAGAATTAGTGTGGTCAGCGTCTAGATGAAAACTTGGAGGTAAAGACAGAAAACACATAAGGAGAGAGTAAGAGTTACTCTGTTGTGTAGTAATGCATCACTTAACGATTGTGCTCCAACATCTCCAATTCTATTGGCCGACAGATCTAGTGTGGTGAGTGTCTACATGAAAAGTCGAGGTAAACACATGATATGGGTGAAGAGAGAATAAGAGTTACTGTGTTGCGTTTTAATCCATCACCCAAAGATTGTGCTCCAGCCGCTTCGATTCTATTATATTGGAGATTTAGTGTGGTTAGTGTCTAGATGAAATAATAGAAGTAAAGAGGCAGTACAGATAAGAAGAGAATAAGAGTTACTGAGTTGTCTTGTAATCCAGCGCCCAAAGATTGCGCTCCAACATGTCTGATTGCATTATCTTCTAGATCGAGTCTGATTAGTGTCTGGGTGATAAAGTAGAGATAAAGACATAGTAGAGAAAAGGAGAGAATAATAGTTACTGTGTTGTGTTTTAATGCATCACCCAATAATTGTGCTCCAACATCTCCTATTCCATTGGCCGACAGATCTAGTGAGGTGAGTGTCTAAATAAAAACAGTGAAGGTAAAGACATCGTACAGGTAAGGAGACAATCAAAAATACTGTGTTGTGTTTTAATGCATGTCCAAAAGATTGTGCTCCAAGATCTCCGATTTCATTATATGTGAGCCATAGTGTGGTGAGCGTCTGGAAGAAAGCGTGGAGGTAAAAACATAGTACAGATAAGAAGAGAATAAAAGTTACTGTGTTGTGCAGTAATGCATCACCCAAAGCTTGTGCTCCAACATGTCTAATTTCATTTTGAAAGAAATATAGTGTAGTGAGCGTCTGAACGAAAGAGTGGAGATCAAGCAATAGTACACATAAGAAGAGAATAAGAGTTACTGTGTTGTGTTTCAATGCATCACCCAAAGCTTGTGCTCCAGCATCTCTGATTGCATTATCTTTCAAATCTAGTCTGGTCAATGTCTGGATAAAATAATAGAAATAAAGACATAGTATAGATAAGAAGAGAATAAGAGTCACTGTGTTGTGTTTTAATGCATCACCTAAAGCTTGTGCTCCAACATCCCCGATTTCATTATTCTGGAGAATTAGGGTGGTCAGTGTCTAGATGAAAAAATGGATGTTAAAACATAGTACAGATAAGAAGAGAACAAGCGTCACTGTGTTGTATTTCAATGCATCACCCAAATCTTGTGCTCCAGCATCTCCGATTTCATTATCTTCCAGATCTAGTTTAGTCAGTGTCTAGATAAAAAGTGAAGGTAAAGACATAGTACACATAAGAAGAGAATAAGAGTTACTGTGTTGTGTTTTAATGCATCACCCAATGATTGTGCTCCAACATGTCTGATTTCATTATTTTCCAGATCTAGTTTGGTCAGTGTCTGAATGAAAAAATAGAGGTAAAGACATAGTGCAGATAAAAAGAGAATAAGAGATACTTTGTTGTGTTGTAATGCCTGATATAAAGATTGTATTCCAACCTCTCCGATTCCATTAAGTTGGAGATTTAGTGTGGTGAGGGTCTAAATGAAAAAGTAGAGGTAAAGGCACAATACACATAAGAAGAGAATAAGAGTTACTCTATTGTGTTTTAATGCATTACTCAAAGATTCGGCCCCAACATCTTGGATTGAATTATCGTCCAATTCTAGTCTGGTGAGTGTCTAGATGAAAAAGTGGTGGTAAAGACACAGTACAGATAAATAGAGAATAAGAGTTACTCTGTTGTGTTTTAATCCATCACCTAAATATTGCGCTCCAACATGTCCGATTCCAGCACATGCGAGTTGTAGTATGGTGAGTGTCTAGATGAAAAAGATAAAGGTAAAGACATGGTACATATAACGAGAGAATAAGAGTTACTGTGTTGTGTTTTAGTACATCACCCAAAGCTTGTGCTCCAGCATCTCTAATGTTGTTATATCCGAGATCCAGTGTGGTCAGTATCTAGATGAAAAAGTGGAGGTAAAGAGATAGTACAGATTAGGAGGCAACAAGTATTACTGTATTGTGTTGCAATGCATCACTTAAAGATTGTGCTCCAACATGTCCAATTTCATTTAGGAAAAGATTTAGTGTGGTCAGTGTCTAGATGAAAAAATAGATGTAAAGACATAGTATAGATAAGTGGAGGACAAGTGTCACTGTGTTATGTTTTAATGCGTCACCGAACGCTTGTGCTCCAACATCCCCGATTTCATTATTATGGAGAATTAGTGTGGTCAGTGTCTAAATTAAAAAATGGATGTAAAGATATAGTACAAATAAGGAGTCAATATGAGCTACTGTGTTGTGTAGTAATGAATGACTCAAAGATTGTGCTCCAACATCTCCGATTCGATTGAAGGAGAGATCTAATTCGGTGATTGTCTAAATGAAAAAGTGGAGGAAAGATATAGTACAAATACGGAGACCATGAGAGTTACTGTGTTGTGTTGCAATGCATGACCTGCAGCTTGTGCTCCAACATTTCCAATTTCATCATCCCAGACATGTAATGTGGTGAGTGTCTAAATGGAATAGTAGAGCTAGAGATACAGTACGGATGAAGAGACAGAATAGTTGATCGGTGTTACGTGGGTTAGAGTAGTGAAGTAAGATACACATAAAGAGCAAATAACAATATTTTATTCCTTTTCTTCGTTCTTATCTAGGCATGGTATGTTTATCACATCATATCTAGTTTGAAACGTGGAATATTTAGTTGAAATTGAGAAGAAAGAAAAGAAGGAATTATTTTTCCTGTTTATCAGGATACTATTTTCAAATTGTCATAATAAAAAAAGTAATTCTTCAGGAGAAAGGAATAGGTGATAAATTATTTTGAGTGTAAAATAGCTTAATGACGTATATGGTACTGAAGTCATTAGATAAAAACTTAGCTATCATGGTAGAAAAAAGTTTACCTGATATCGATTGTAGCTATCTAAGATGCTATTGAATCGTTCACATACGTTTCTCATTGAGCAAAACATGGTGAAGTCCGATTCATGGTCCAAAATTCGGTAGACCAGTTCTACCGGTAATGTAAGGAAGTTGACGCCAGTTTGGTTTACCATTGTATACTGTTGATGAAATGTGTGCTGTGTAGCTTGGTATGTTGGTAATATGGTTTACTATAAAAACATCGAAACTAAAAATGTCGAATGATAAAAATGTCGAAATATAGTGCTACCTACTACGTCTTTTTTTCGATTTGTTCGACATTTCTCCTTTCAATGTTTTTACAGTAAACTCGCATGTGAAAACGATTATAAGCGCCATCTTCTCTTTCTTATCATAATTGGTTGCTTAATTCGATATATAAAAATGTCTCTCCCTTTTCAAGATATTCACTAGTAAAAATAAAATAAAATAACTATTTCATCTAAATGAGTTCAACAAAACAACTTCCAAATATTGTTATTTGTGGTACACCAGGTATGCTATCATTTTTCATCTATTCTTCATCTATTTAATCCTAATTATTTTCTTTTAGGTGTTGGTAAATCTCGTCTATGTCAAGAATTATGTTCCGCAAATAAATCTTTAACATATCTTAACATTAATGATTTAGCTAAACAACAAAAATTTCTTCTCGAATATGATGAAGAAAATGAATGTCAAATATTAAATGATGATGCAGTACATGATTATTTAGATGATGAATATTTTCAAAAATCATCTCCACCATCCGGTTTAATTATTGATTATCATAGTGCAGGAATTGTACCTGACAGTGATCATATTCATGGTGTATTTGTTATTCGTTGTAGTAATGATAAATTATATGAACGATTAAAAAAACGAAATTATTCTGATAAAAAAATTGAACAAAATATTCAATCCGAAATTTTTCAAGTTTGTCTTGATGAAGCACAAGAATCATTTGATGAAAATATTATTCATGAAATTACAAATGAAACAGAAGATGATTTCAAAAAGAATGTTGAAAATTTAACAAACTGGATTAATCAATGGTCACCAAACGCAGAAGAAGAAAATAAATAAATAATCAAGTTTTGTTATTTATAGTTATTTTGAAATAAAAATAAAAGATCAGAATATTATTCATTGAGACCTTCTTGAAGTTGATAAAGTAAATATAACGTAAGAAGTTTTTATTTAAAAATGTTAAAACAAATTTTCTATTATAATTCAACATCTTTAAGGGCTGAATGAAGAATTTCAGTACCATGTTGTTTTCGAAATTCTTCTAAAAATCTAAATAATAAAAAATGACTTGTATGTAAAAATGTAATACTAGTCTTTCATACCTTTCATCAGCTTTGACCAATTTAGTTATAAAAATAGCAACATTTTTTCTTGCTACTTTACTTAACCATGATTCTTCAACTAATTTTAGCATTTGACCAATTGTTTTTTCTATTCCTGAATTCTCTTTTAAGAATATACGTACTGATGAATGAATAATAATATGTCCAAAAACTAATGAAGCATTTCCAATAAGTAAAGAATGTTGACTTGTTAGTAATTGGTCATAAATAAGAGATAAAACTAGAACAAGAAAAGAGGATACTAGTAGGATATGTCGAAACACTAAAAATAATCGAGCAAATCTTGTTACACGATATATAAGAAACTTACGTTTTTTATCGTTAGCAACAGCTTGTTGTGCTTGTTCATTTCCTTGTGTACATAATGCTGAAAGTCTAACTGCAGCTCGAATCTTTTCTTCATTAGCATTCTGTAAAAAAAACAGATGTTATGTTTTTTTTAGAGTTCAATTTAAGTAAACCTGTTGTAAAGCTTGACTAATCCATGAAACAATATTGTGTTGAATAAGAATACCAACAGCTTGTTCATAATGCATAGCAATATTTCCTAATAATGTAAAAATTCGTTGTTGATGTAAAGAATTTCTTAATTTTGTTAAGATTAATTCACATAACTAAAACATAACTAAATTTAGACAAAAAAATGAATTTCTAATTTAAGATAAAATTACTTGTTTATAAATGCTTTCTAGAACAGTACTTTTTTCATTTGTTAGATTAATGAATAATCCAAGTAGATTTAATTGATGTTCATTATCAGTTTGTTCAAAATCTTTAATTAATATCTGTAAGAGTTCAGTTTGTTCAATAACATATGAACGAATTGTTTTTTCCGAACACAGATTTGTTAATAATGATAATATCACAGTTCGAGTTTGTTCATTAATCACAGACGATTTCTATATATGGCGAACACAGATATTCAATACAAATAAATAATCGGTTCTTACTATAATTGAAATTAATTTTATCAATTCAGTTTTATTATTAAAACATTGTTTAATTCTAAATAACAATAAAACAATAGTTTATTTAGGTGGGTGTGGGTGCGGATATGGACACCGGTGTGGATGTTGGTGTATCTTATCTACGGTAAGCACAATCACACCCTGAAGATGGTTTTTATTTTCAAGATTTTGAAGGTAATCCGTTTATCTGATTTTAATTAATATTCTTACTTGGATTCAATTGCTAAATTACTTAATAATTTTGCAGCATATATTGGATTCGATTTTTTATCGTTAATCATATTCATTAAATGTTGAATAAATCTAAAATAAAAGATTTTATTTTTTTTTGTTAAGATGAAAAATGAATTATTTGTACTCGTTTGGATTGATTTTTTGTAGAAGAATTAATCGAGCTTTTGGATTTAATGTTATATCAACAAGAAATTGAAGTGCAATTGATGAATAATTATTTTTCTTTAAATAATTATTTAAATATTTACTTTCTAAACATTGTTTAGTATTTTCATCTAAATACAAATAGATTTTTAAAAAAATTCTTCTTTTTTTGAGTATATACCATCATCTTGTGAAAGAATAATCATTAGATTAAAAACAGCTTGAGATAAGTTTTCATTCTGATCATTTTCTATTATAATCGAATGAGAATTAAATAAATTAAAACCATTATTAACACGAAATGCTGTTCTAGTTGTTTCTAAAAATGAAATAAAAGTCGTGATTTATTTTAAAATTTAATTAAACAAACCATCTTTTATTAATTGACAGAGAAGATCAATTCCACCTGTATAATAAATAATCGGTTGTTTATCAGCATTTAATTTTTTTAATGTATTTGTTAAATTCATTAATTCCGATGGATTTTCATTTGATAGAAATATTCTTGCAGATTCTTCTCGTTGATGTTGATTACGTTGTCGTTCAACTTCTTCAATACATTCTAAAAAATATATCAAAAAAGATAATCTTTTCGAGTTTTTCATTTCACTCACGAGCCTTCTATCATACGACGTGTATTTATTGAATCAAAATTTTTTATGGCGATTTGTTCAGCTTCAACAAATTCTTCTTTAGCACGATCAAATTCTTTTAAATTCATTAAACATTTGCCTTTGATAACAAAAGCCTTGATAAATGTTGGTGTTGCCTAAAGAAAAATTCGTATGAAATAGTTTCGAAAGTCACTCTTACTTTCAAAGCCCAAACACAATCATTGATTGCATCTTCATATCGACCTTGTTTTACGTAAACTTGTGCTCTATTTGTATATAATATATCATAATCTTTTTTCAATTTTAAACCCTAAAATAAAATTTCTAATATTTTCGCATATTTCTTTCATTAATCATCTGTACTTGTGTGTAATAATCAATTGCTTGTTCATATAATTGTTGATGAAATGCTTCATTTCCTTTTGCTTTTAATTCATCAGCTAGAATTTTATTTTTTCGACGATTTTCAGCACGTTCATTAGCATCTTTTTCTATAGCACTCATAAATGCATCTATTACGAGAAAAACAAGAAATACAAATATATACATATCGATATCTATTACCTTGCGATACATGTTGTTGTGGTAATGGTTCAGAAGGTGATTTATTTATCACAGTGCGATTAACACCTGTTTTCGATATTTCTTTAAGTAATATATCTGATTCTTGCATTGCTTTTGATACATCATTTGTATCATTAGAAGATAAATTTTGAACAAGACGATCTATTAAAAAATATAGTAAAATGAAAGAAAGTTTTTTTTTATCTACTTACGAATATCATCGACTTTCGATAAAAAATCATTAAGATCTTCTTGTGTTTCGTTGGCCATGGGATGAAAATTTAAAAAGAAGAAAAAGAATCGATCTTACTCCATTATCATATCGTTTCCACGAACGACAAGAATTTAAAATTTCATATCCGACAGTAGCGCCATCAATCGAATTGGCTGTTTTAAATGACAAGGCGGAAAGAAAACGAACAAAAGCAACCTGTTCGTTATTGTTAATCATAACGAAAATGCCTGCACCACCACCACGACGGTAAATAATATTTATATTTTTTCAATTAAACTATAATCGTTAATTATTCTTTTAGCTCATTAGCTGCACGACGTCGTACAACAAAAATTGTTGAATTTGAAGATGATATTGATGATAAAGAAAATTCTCTTAATGATAGTCTTTCAGGACGACGACCATCACGCGTTGTAAATAATTCATTTAATGGTATTGATGATCAACCCGTTCAAACGCCAAGACAATTAGTTGATTTATATCAAAAAACGGTTGAATTAGCATCCCAAGGAAAAATTAATATAAAAAATGCATTTAGTATTCCACTTGTAGAACGTTTACCCCAGATTTTAAATGCTATTGCACTTGATGATAAAGAAAATCATCATCTAGGACCAAATTTTGTTAAAGCTGGTTCAGTTATTGATACGAGGTAAGTTTTTATCTACAAAATAAACTAAACTTCATTTTTTTGCTTTTAAGTGCAAAAATCTATGGTTATCGTGTTGATGCTCTACAAATTGAAACTCAAAAATTAAGCGGAAATATTCTAAATACTGAAGAAGAAGGAACAATTGATGGAAAAAATAAAGAAGATGATCAAACAGATGGTAATAATGAAAATATTGATTCGGAACAAGCTGAAATAAAAAAACCCGTACGTCGTGTTAAAGCTAAAACAGCTACATTTATTTTAACGGATTTATCCAAAATAACACTTGAACATGAATTTCAATTTCATCCATTTCAACCACCAAATATGTGTCAATGGCGTGGTGGTGTTGGTGCAGATTCTATCTATGCTGAAATGGTTTCAAGTACAATGTATTCATCAAGTGATTATCCTCTTATTGATGGTTTTACTAATGCAAACAGTCGAATAGATGAACAACAAAGTAATATTGATAGTATTCTTGATCAAACTATAACTAAAATGATTGATTTAACATCATTACGTAATGTTATTAAAATAAATGAAGGACATGATCATATTCTTGGTAAGAATTTCATTGTTGTTCGTTTTTCTTTCAAATTAAATTTTTTTTCGTAGGAAATCAAACATTACGTGATTTTGTATTTAATGAACTTCCAAGTGGTTCATTTATAAATACAATTCATGAAAGTTGTCTTGGACAAATGGATGAAAGTATGAATAAATCGTATGTAAATAATGATGATATTGATAACGAGGATGGATATAATCATGAAGAATTAATGCATGCTGCTATTGATGATCTTAATGATGATCAATCACAAGCAAATGAAGTTTTCAAAAATGCATTGAATGAATTAAGTAATCCAGATCCATCAAGTATACATTCGAATTTTCAATCACAACAATCGATAAATGTAAGTAATCATAGAAAAGATTTAAGTTGTCGTATATCTCTTATATTTCTAGTCTAATCTTCCATCGACAAATGGTCTCTTATCATCATCTTTCATGAGTGCAATATCATTTGCTGATCAAATGCCAAATTTATTACATTCAAAAGATGTTCAATCAGACTATTCATATTTTGATGCAACAAAACTTAAACTATTTGCTGGACCTAATATATGGAAATTTACTAATTTACTTAATACAAACGCGCCGACAGTAAATACATCAATTGTTCAACAACAACAACAAGCACCTGTAACACCACATAAAATTACTAGTATAGCAAAAGAAGGAGGTGGAACAAAACGAAATATTCGTATTGATATATCCAATCATGTTTCAATTGATCAAATTATGTTTGGTAATAATAATAATTATGGTCGAGATAAAAAAGTAGTTAGCACAAGTCAAAGTTCACTTTTATTACGTATACGTGAAAAAAGTCTTAATCAAATGCAATTAGCTAGAAAAATACGTCCATTAACTGATTTAACAAATTCACATAATTTCCCGGATCTTAATTTTGAACATTTGGATTTGATAAATCGTCGACGAGAAAGACAACAACAACAAATTGGACAATATCATGATCAAGAAGATTTTAATGAGCATGATTTTCATGGTGATGGTAATCATCTTGATGGTGAAAGTAAGATATTTATATAAAATTAGGTGTTGTCAAGAAATCCGGAAAAAGAAAAATCTGAGCAGTAAGAAATCAGGGAAGAATTTATTCGCAGTGTAATAGTCATAGAAGACATAACAAGTAGAAATAACGAAGATGTGAGAAACAATTTGATAGGAAGTTTATTTCTTCGAAGCTGCCAAAGGAGAGAGTTCGACGCGATTGATGTCACCGTTTCAGAAGCGAGTACCTAAATTATCGATGTGTTTCTGCCTGACCAATGTCTTCAGCGCTTTCTTCTGTTGTGCTTCCGCTTTAAGCTTGAGAGATTGTTGTCGAAAGATGAGTTCTACGGCTTGGAAGCAAGCGAGGGTGTGGGTGGATCTTCCTATCTCACATTCATACCTACACCCACACTCATCTTTATAGATATGTTTTATTTCTTTTCCAGATTTTCTTTTTCCGGATTTCTTGACATATTCTAAAATTATGCTTTACTTGTTTTTCATTACTTTTACTTATATATATATTTTATTTTAAGATGAACCATTATCTGCAATTGACTATGATTTTGCTCGTCCAATTCATTATGAAAAAATCGAATTTGCTAAAGGTTCATCAACTGTCAATGCAAAAAATCTTAAACGTCAAATAATTGAAGAATTTGCACGACAAAAAACTGAACAACAACGTACATTATCTCTTAATTCAAGTACAATCAGTCAGCAATCATCAATCTTATCTTCACAATCCGAATCTCAACAACAACAAGAACAACAACCACTAGTTGAATTTTCAATTCTCTGTGAAAATTTAGCTGATCATGGTCATTTATCATTAGAAACAGATTTAGCATCAGCATTCTATTGTATGTTAATTAATTGTAATGAAAATAAATTATTTCTAAAAAATAATTCGAAACGTGATGATTTAATTATACAAGAACGTCCATTTATGGATCAACGAGATGTTTCAACTTTATCCTATTCATATGTAAGTCATTCAAATTTATCTGTTGTTAATTAACATTGTATATTGTTTATGTATATTAATCCGTAGTTGTTATTTTTTTATGTAAAAAAAAATCAAAAGAAAGTTTTGTGTACACGAAATTAATTAAAAATCATGTATTTGTTGAAAAATTATTGAAATAATAAAGAAAAAGAAAATGATAGAAGAAGGAACGAGTTTTGATGAATAATTATACATTGTATTAATTGTTTGACCTTGTGAAAGTAAGGGTCGACCAATTAAATAAACAGCAAAATTTGGTGGATAGATATTAAATGATTGAACCATTGAATTGACTGATTGATCTCCACAACATGTTACCATAAAATCTTTTGAAATTAGGAAAAATTAGTTTATGAGAGTAGAAAATAATATATTAATACATACTTTGATATGACATACTTGGAGTATTACCTAGAAAAGAAAAGAGAAATTATTAGATTTATCTTTTCTCATAAATTTCCATGACTATTAGTTATTATTTGTCGTACCTTCTGATTGTGTACCACCCAATGATTGAACAGTAATACGTTCACCAGTCATTGCTTTACAAGATTGTTGTCCACTATTAGAATTTGATCCGCCAAGATAACCACCTGAAGCTGTATAATAATTGTGTGCTCCAACATTTGGTCCAGCCATACCTTGTCGATTATATGGTGTATTCATTGTTCTATTCCAAAAAGTATTCGGCATTGGTTGATTTGGTGGAATTCCGATATTATTAAAATTGTTATTCTGATTACCGAAATTAGTTCCATTATTATTGGGAAAATATTGTGAATTGGGTGATGCATAACCATTCATAACATTACTTGGATTATACAACTGATTATTCGAACCATATGGTGTTGAAGCAGCTGGATATCCTCCATAAGCTTGTTGTTGTGGTTGAAAATAACCTGGACCAAGATCTGGTGATTGAAAACCTTGTCGGTTTGTTTGATTTGGTTGATTATTCATCCAACCCTGTCGTTTTTGACGAGGACGTTTTTGTAAAGAATTTTGATTACGACTATAAAAACCAGCTGAACGACGTACTATATTATTATGTGGATCAAGAATAACATCAGCACATATATGACGAAGAACAAACTAATAAAAAGATGTTTTATATGAAAATTTATAACAACAGAAATCTTTACTTGTCTTAAACGATTAATATCTGTTGTTACACCCATTGATTGTAATGCTGCATTTGTTGGAATAAATAATGTATAAGAACGACCAGTTTGTTTTAATTGTTCAATAACACGTGTTTGTTGAAGTAATTGAGTAAATGCGCTATATATATTTAGAGATTAAATAAAATCGATAGAAAATAATGAATAGTAATTATTACTTTGCTCCTTGTACAGCTAGAAGAACTCCATCAATTGGTATGACTGTTCCAGATACAAGACCTGAAATTAAGAAAACTTGATATAGTAAAATGAAAATTTATGTGTTATTAAACCTCGAATAACATGCATAACACCATTTTTAATCGGAATATTTGATTCACTATTAAGAATTGTTGCTGTAAATGGCAAAGAATTCGCTGATCGACCGACAAGTGTTACAACTTAAAATTAAATAATTTAATTAATAATAAATAGATCTTTCATTTCTTACCATTTCCTCTCGTGCCAGGTGATACTTGTGCTTGAACAGTATATTGTGGATCCATGGTTGGATAAACTTGACCATTTTGAAAAACTGCTAAAGAAGATGATGGCATTTGATAATAATTTGGATCAATCTGTTGTTGTTGTTGTTGTTGAATAGGTAATATTTGTTGATTTGGCAGTTGCTGCTGCGGATTAGGTAGTTGTTGTTGAGCAAATTGTTGTTGTTGTTGTTGTTGAATCGGTAATATCTGTTGATTGGGCAGCTGGTGTTGTAGATTAGGTACTTGTTGTTGAAGATATTGTTTTTGTTGATTGGGTAGTTGCTGTTGTTGTTGAGCCGGTAATATTTGTTGATTGGGCAGTTGTGTATTAGGCAATTGTTGCTGAGAAAACTGTTGTTGTTGTTGATTCGGTAATATTTGTTGATTATGTAGTTGCTGTTGTGAATTAGGCAATTGTTGCTGAGGAAATTGTTGCCGTTGTTGTTGTTGTTGTTGATTCGGTAACATTTGTTGATTAGGTAGTTGTTGCTGAGGAAATTGTTGTATTTGAAAATTTGTATACGATGGTGTATACGACGGTGTATTCAATTGTCTACGACGTCGTGATTGTTTTTTGTCTGATCCCGAAGCAGCTCGTTGAAATTGTGGTATTTGAAATTGTTGCTGATTCAAACCAGGTTGTAGAAATGGTTGCTGTTGTTGTTGTTGTTGTTGACTGAAACCAGGTTGTAGGAGGGGTTGTTGTTGTTGTTGTTGTTGTTGACTGAAACCAGGTTGTAGGAGGGGTTGCTGTTGTTGTTGTTGGTTGAAACCAGGTTGTAGGAGGGGTTGCTGTTGTTGTCCAGTTTGATAAATATTTTGTTGAGGAAATGAATTTGATCCTGCTGAAGTGCTTGTTATTTGATCCATGTATACTGGAAGGCGTAAGATATGTCTTCGTAAATTCTAAAATATTGAAAAATGCATATCATATTCTGCAAAGCTGTATTACGACTGTTATTGAATAGAGTAAAAAATTCTATGATACATACCAAACTTAGTTCTTGAGCGCTTCCTATTTGTTGTATTGACATCTGTTGTGGTATAAGTACCGTAATATTAGGTGCATTTTGTGAATTAAAATTTTGATTCATTGTCCCTTGTAATAAATTAATTAATTCTAAATCTCCTGTTTGTTGAACAAGATTCATGAAATATCTAAAGTAATAATCAAACAAAAAGATAAATATTTAATGAAATTATTTATTTTCTTACTGATAATTTCGTGTAAGTTCATCGGTGGCTGATCGAACTTGAGATGTAAGAATTGTCGAAATTGGATAGACAATTCCATTACCATATAATCGAATATCTTCCGAACGAGAATTTAAAATACGTGCTACAAATCGACCACACACAACATCAACTAAAAGACGACAATAATTTCTAAGAAAATTTTTTCTTACAAATAAAGATAAATTTTACCTTGAAATGTTTGATCCGGTTGTGTTACTTTACGAAATGTAATCCATTGATTTGCGATTAATGTTATTACTTGTTTTGTTGAATCCATTGCACTTGGATATAATACTAATGGTATAACATGTGCTTTAACAAACTAAATTATTTAATTAATAATAAATTATTGATGAACAAAAAAAAAATAAAGATCAGCTTTTACTTCATTTATATCGTTAGTATTATTCATAGAAGATTGATCAAGTAAATAACTTAAACTTGAACCCATACTAGCAAATGCTTGATCATTTGGTAAGAACCATGTTTGATGATGAATTGAACGCAATTCTGAACGAAAATAATCACTACGTTCAGCTAATTGACGAAGACGACTTAAGATTCAAAATAATTTTTACATGAAAATTTAAAAACTTAAGAATTCTTACGAAAATTGTGCATCTTCAAGTGCATCATAAGCTGTTTTATATTGTGCTTGATCACGTCTTTCCGGTGGCCATAAAATATTATCAATTACATTGATCACACCACGACTCATTGGACGTGATTGTAATACAAATGCATTATTGATCGTCGGACGCTAAAAGAAAAATTAATTGAAAATTTAACAACATTAGTTTTTATATTCAAATTCATCTTTGAAATGATAAAACTACTACTAGAACGAAGAGAAAATAGATCAGTTGTTTATGTCTTTCGTATAGCATATTGAAATTTATTTAATTGATAAATACTAATCTATTATACTTACTAATACTCCAATACCACCATTTGGTCCTAATTGCCCATAATTTTGTTGTTGCTGTTGAAGATTCGGAATAAAATTCATATTTGGAGTTTGTCGCTTTTGTCTATTAAGATTTGGATTGAAATTATTACCATAATAATTTGTTAAATTTGGATTTCGCGGTAATGTATTGCCTTGACCAGCACCATATTTGACACTCCGATCATAATTATCCACTAAATATAAAATAATAAGTTAATTTTTTTTGTCAAAATTTTTCTTTATCTTTCATACGAATAAATGGATTCATTGGAATATTATTTTCGAATACATTCGTTTGATTCAATGATGTATGTGTTAACCAAGATATTCCACCTGAACCATATCCAGCATTGTCAAAAGTTTCATTGACGTGCGGACCTGTTCCACCATAGAAACCATAACCATAAAAAACCTTGAAATCAAAAAATTTAATTATCAAGTTTGTTTTTTTAATTTTCTTTTATACTTGAAAAGGTAATGCTATAGTTGGTAGGTTATTTTGTGGTCGAATACCAATCATTTGTCTTGGATTAGCTTGATTGTATTTTTCTTGTGCCATATTAAATAACATTTGTTCATCATAGCGTCCAGATACAATATGATATTTCCAAAGTAAATTTAGATCTTCATTTTTTCGGTTTAGATTTATCATTGCATCATTATTTGGTGCAAATATTGTAAAATCATTCATACCACCTGGTTGCTGTTGAGGATAAAGACCTTGTAATACCATTTGAATATCTTGTTGGCGAAGTAATTGGTTATAAAACTAGATTTACAGATTTTTTTTGAACAAATGAATTAAATTATTTTTTTTTGAATAACTTACTAATGATAAATCAGGCATAGCTGCTAGATCTTCAAGCGGACCAGCATAGCAAGTAATACTAATTATTAATAAGATGTAGAAATGTATGAAATACATGTTTTTATTCTAAAAAAATCGAATGTATTCTAAGAATGAATATGTACTAAGTCTGAGTTCCGTTATAGAAGAAGAAGGGAAGGACACAGAGAGAGAGAGGGAGAGAGGAAAAAAAAGAAAGGTGAGTATCGCTCATATATAGTTGACCGTACGGAGGGCGATGTGACCATTTTACAATGATTAGACGATGAAGTTCATCGTATAATTTTTCTTTTTATTCTCTTTTCAAAGTTCAAATCGAACAATATAATTGATGACCATAGAAGTATTGTTGTTGTTGTTGTTGTTTCAGTAAGAGTGCAATAAAATAGGTTATTTTGTCAAGAATTACATGTATAATATACGGTACTTTTGTCAGATTCGAATGTAAAGAGTAATGTAAAAGAAAAATGAATAATTGAATAAGGCCTTATCGATAATGTCATCAAGTGTCCAAATCAAAAATATATATCAAACCCATTCTTATCTATTCCTCCATCTGTTTCTATCAGAACGAGTTGATGTTGTCATCAGAATCATCGATCATACATATAAATAATTCTAGAATTATCTTGAACGTATTTCAGGGCATCGATAAACGAGAGATTTTAGAATTCATTATACAAAATAAAATAAATCGTTCATAATTGTCAATAGCAGATGTAATCTTTTTCTATGATTGAAATCTATAATTGAGTAAGTAGTATTTCTGTTGAATACAACTAGAAAGACTTAATTTGTTTATTATTATATTTACTTGTGGAAGTAGTTACATCCATTTATAAACACTTAAAATATCTCTATATTAAACAACTTAATAAAGAATCGAATGAATACATCAATGCTTCTCCCTTCTTCAGAATCATCGTTTGCTTTTGTTCAAGTGCGCAATCATATTCAAATATACAATATTTCGTATCAAATTTCAAATCGATTCTATATTTTGAATCCACATTATTACTCTTCATTTGCACCTGTTTATTTAATCAATCATATGTATTGAAGATTTATTGCTTTATTTTACTATTCCTATGAACTTAATTGAGATTATATAGTAGAAATAATATTTCTAAGTAGTTTGACCAATAAATAAATGATTACTGATTCTTGTTATGATAAAATTCATATCCTTTTATTACTTTGAAATGTATGAATGCTTCATCTTCCTTTTTTTCTATTCATTCCTTGTCTTTGAATAGAGTTGTTCTTTTTTTTAATCAATATAATATGTATGTTTATGATGAAACAACAATAATATGTAAGAGATCAGGTATATCTCAATAATGACGTAAAGAAAAAGTATGTCGTATTTGATCAATTCTGATTGCTGAATGAAATTTATCCTACGTAATAAATGCATGATATTCATTTCTCTAATCGTAATATAATAAATGATGGTTAATTATCACTTGATGAAGGTTTCAGTGGAAGACATTGCATCTAATTATTCATCAATAATTTCAAAAAAATGATACACAGATATCCAAAAATCTTTCTACTTACATTTTACATCTTTTACTTTCGTTTAATGATCAGTTTAAAAGATATAACAAGACAACTTCGTTCAAAGAAAATGAGTTATTCAAATTTTTTTTAGATTACTTCTGAGTACTATCAGAGATGTTTGACATCAACTAGTTTCTGACTGTTTAGTGAATGGACCACAGTCAATATGTGATTTAGACTGCATAAATTGATGTCAGACTATTTGAGTGTCCTAATCTACCACCAAGACATCCGTTGATTTATGCGTATTGGCGGATTGAGTGTTCAAACCCACGTTTTATCTTCTTTCTTTTTTAGTTTAACTAAATAAAATCTATGATGAATTCTTATTTAATGTGATTCTTAGTGATGTATGAGTTAGACTTCTATTGTCTAATCAATATACTTCATTTTGTATTAAATGTATTCATCGAACGATAAAAAAATCGCATCAAAGGATTATTTTATTTATTTTAAACATAACAATGTGTTATAAAAAAACATGATACATAAGAAATATTTTATTTGACAAAAGAATAATAAGTTCACCGATGGATCTTTCAGAAGTTTTAACGAAAATCAGTAGACAGACGGATAAATGCTATCATCTTGTTCAAATGAGTCGAACTGGAATTATCATTAAATAATTTAATCATGCCGATTTCATATTTAGTACTTTTTATATAATGAATACGAACAAAGTGCATATACATTAAAAACGAGAGAATTATATCAGATATATAAAACTCCGAAAGTTATTTTTTGATAACATAGCTTTATCTAATAACTGTTTCTCGAAGTTTCATATTAGTCAGAAACTGATAAGAATATGCTTATTCAACTGCTTGCACCTGAAACACTCCAACGAAGAATCTACATATGTCAGCAAACATAAAAGAAAGAAATTCATTATAGTGACACGGCAGTTTCAAGAGATATAAGGATACTATATCAATGACCTGTAAGATAATAAAAGCTTAAATAAATAAGCAGGTTAAATAATTTTAATTGAAATATTCTTAAGCAGACAGATGATTAACTCCATGAGCTCATTAGCTAGATTCAAAAACAATTTCTTTGACCATCTTTAAATGTCTCAGTCATATATTAAGACACTAAGGCGTACATCGACGAATAATTACACTATCCGCTCAATCATAAATCGTAATTAATACTTCCATCGAACATATGATTATTACTAGAAATACAAGTGTTTGTACACTAAAAACAAACAAAAGTTTATTTCTCATACTTGGTTAATAGGTTAAATGTTAAATTTATGTTTTTGATAATAAAATATATATTTTGTAGTTGCTGCCATATCTTTGGATTTTTATTCTTTGTCGAGGTATATAATATGAATTTTTATCTCGAGAGCAACATTGGTAGACCCATTATTTACTTTTGCATGACATGATTGCGAAACACTTTGCCGTACTTTTAATTTCTTTTTGTTCTAAATATTTTTCTTCTTGTATGTGTACTTTGAAATCATATGATCAATTTATCCTTCTCTCACGCCACGGTAATCTAATCTTCGTTTTCTTTCAAGTTTGTCCTTAGATTTCGTATTCTCCTGTGATTGTGTTGACTGTTGTTCCTCATAGTATATAAGGAACAACAAAAATACAGTTTAAACGCAATTCTTCATAACTGAAACAAATATTATTATACTAACTCTTAAGTAGTGTCTATTATATCAGAAATTATCATAATTTTACATTTCAAAATAATTCACTATGGCAAAACAATCGTCAGATTTGATGTTTCGTTTGTATTCTATGCACAATTATGAACAAGATATTACCGGAATGAATGATTTATTTCAACGATGCAAATCTACTGATTATGAATCAGTAATGATGGGTGATAGCAATAAGTCACCCATTCTATTCCATTGCGAATCTATCGATCATCTTCATTGCATGAAACAATATCCAGAATCGTACTGCGGCACATTGGTAAATACCAAAGATGGTCGTGTTGTTGCTTTCACGGCTGGTCATATAAAATTTGTATATTTTGGATCTTCTTTGATGACTGTCATATTTATTCGTTTAGTTCGCGTTGACCCAACTCAACGACGACAAAACCTTTTGATAAATCTTACAAAGCAAGGGAATAAAACTGGTGTTGAAAATATTCCAGACTATACAATAGGCTACACAACAGATACTAATGTTCCATCGTTAAATATGCAACAACGTTTGTTCGGTTCATTGTCAAATCCAGTTAGTCGGTTTAGTCATTTTATTCTTTCAACAACACCTACTTCTAAAGCAATTAAATTGCATAAACTTAGCTTCGAAGAAACAGAACGTCTTTGGATGGTTGATATGATTGATTGGGTTCAGCGTCCCTCACTATCGGATTTACATCGTATCATGCATATGGATGAATATATAGGTATTTTCGCTGTTGGAGATTTCTCGTCACAACAGTATGCAACAGCAATGATATGGGAGCCATTAACTACTATCCTTTGTGATGATCGATCAGGTACAAAAAATGAATATCGTGGTCGATTCCGTTTAGCATTAAACTTTTTCCAATCATCCAATTCAATACCGTCGGTCGCAGTTCAAGAAAGAGAACACCTCATATCTGCACTCATTAATGCAGCATCCAACGATGAAATTCCATTTTTGATATGTGACATCGAGGAGTCATCACTATTTACATCATTAGTACGACAGAAAGCTCTGGCTGTGTCAACGGAGAGTATATCTCGAGTTCCGTGGTCGGAACGAGTAACAGATATGGCCGATCGATTTGCTAATTCACCCATCTGGTTAGACCCACGTGATTTGAGTAATCTACTGTATTTCAAACCTCTCTCGGAAAAATTACAATCACAATTATGATAACATTACATTGTGTCGTCAACTTTTATGGATACTTTTCGTAACTTTTCAAAAGTTAACGATTTACTATCGAAGTCTATATAATTAGGAATAAAACAGTAACATTTTTAATGATTTAAATTGTTTAAATCGCTATTGAAAGTTTCATGAAATAATAAAAATAATGTAAAATGATTATTATTTAGGATAATCTCAAAAGAGTAGTGTGAGTGTAATCACTATCTTAATTTTACACACTCACCGATACTCATACTCCTAGTGAAAATGATATCTAGATCAGATGATAACATTGTAGAGATTTATTTCATTAGTAAAGAGATGAATTGTAATTGAATTAATCTTTTAAAATATATAAAACTAAAAAAATCGCAATGTTTTTATTGTTTGAAATGATATGTTTATCTAATATCAAATTCTGAAATAACAAAATGAATAAAATATATTTGTCATGTAATTGAACGTGTGGGTGTAGATGAGAAAAGAAGTGAATACTTACACTCACACCCTCTATACAAACAGAAACAATGTATTGTTGGTGGTCGAAAACATTTCTATTTAGAAATAAATTGTTGTGTGACTATACCATCAAATAATGATCAAGAAATAAGTTTATAGTCATCAACACAGAATCTAAATAAATCTGAAGAATTTACTATATTTGAGACAGTTCCATATCAGTTCTGATCATAGAAACTGTGTACTAGTTCTTTTGGCGGGAACTGATGGACAGAGATTATCTCCTACTGAGAAATCGATAGGCACAAGTCAGTTCCTCTGAAATGAAGTGCTTGCGAGTGTAAATGTAATGTATTAAGAAGAATAACCACACTCACACCCATTCTCTGAAAAAAATTCAGTAGATGAAGCAAACTTATCTTAATATTTCAGACAAACTTGTTCAAAAGCAGATCAAATTTTAGTAACATTCGTCAATCATGAAACTAACAATTTTTTTTCTTCGATTCACATATCGAACTATTTTATGAGAATAAATTTTGTACCATCTTGTAAAATATGTATATTTGATTTTACGACCAAATGACAATATAGATTTTAAATAAACATAAATAACAAAGAAATTCATTTTTAACCTTTGCTAATTACAATCGAGAACACAATATTGATGTCTATTATGTACCAATTTATGTCGATAAAGTAATCTTAACAAAAACGTTGCGTACAGTTGCTATGTGGATTCTGCCACTATGTAGTTGACGTCATTTTTTCGGGTTTTTTTTCTTTTAACAAATAATTGCAACATCATGTGTAATATATAATGCATGAGGAATACATATTAATTCAGGTGGAAAGAAAAAATAACAACACATCATTTCACCAATATTCAACGTTACACAGCATACATTTGATTAGGATTCTACAATGGCAAATCAAACTGTTGCTAACTTCCTTACACTACCGGTAGAGCTTGTCTACCGAATTTTGGATCATCAAACGAAGTTCACCATTCTCTTCTCAATGAGAAACGTATGCCAACGTTTCAACAGCATCATAGATAGCTACGATCGATATAAGGTAAACTCTTTTCTATCATGAGAGTTTAATTTTTGTCTATTGACTCTAATACAACATTCAAGAATAAACTATTTCACATTCAAAATAATTCATCACCTATCTTTTTACTCCTATGACAATAGGAAAATAGCGTTCTGATAATCAGACAAAAAAATTCCTTTTTTTTCTTTGTTTTCACTTTCAACTCAATATTTCACGTTTCAAACTAGGTTTGATGCCATACGCATACAATGTTTAGATAAGAACGAACAAAAAGAAATAAAACATTGTTATTTACCTTTAACCTGTATGTAAGCACGTTTTGTTTAGATACCCTTTCGATAATAAAAATCAGCTTTTTACAAAAATGAATCATCAATACACTGGTTTATCTTGTTATACGTTAAGTCCTAGATACTTCCTTGGGGAATACTTCTGATAAGGTATGAAAGTGAGTGTAAATGGAATCGAATAACTACACACCCTCAAGAAAGTTTCGTTTTTCAGAAAAGAGACAAATTATTTCTATCATAGAAAGATGCCCTACGATTACCTCTTTAAGAATATATATAGTTTTTAGCATAATAGTCAGGATTTGGAAGTCTTGATTTATGTTATTATGCTTTCATACAAAATTCCAAAGATTTTCCACAGCCTCAATTTTTCATAAAACATTGCTTGTAAACAGTGTGCTTGAAATCTTCAATATGAGCTGTATGTCACTGAGTAAGGCAATCATTTTTGTATACTTCTGTGTGAAAATGCATAATGTAAAAATCTTATTTGATGTTTTTCATAGATATGAAAGAAAAGTTTTCAGAAATCCATTCGTGCAAGTTGTTTGGAGTTTTTGTTAAAACAAGGTTTCTGACTCGAAGAATTAAACTATTTCCTTCGTTGCACGAGCTATACTTAATAATTTTTTGTTTTAAAAGTCTCTATGGGAATAAACTTTTCATCAATCAGTTTTTTAAAATCAAATTCTGGACTAAGAAAACTAGGATTTACTGTGATTCGCTATCCATTCGTTCAACTGGATTTCAGGCATGCTTACCATGAATAGAAAATAATCCGAGCTGCGAGCTGTATAAGTTGTCTTGAAGGTATGCGTGTGGGTCAATGTGGGTGGGGATATAATTACTCTTTTCTTACGATCACCCACATCCACATCTTAAAATGAGTAAAATCGGATGACTACGGTTGAGCAGATCATGTATATTTCGGTCGTGGCTTACACAGAATGGTTCATATAGTCTCACTTATATAAATCATAAGGATCAACAAGACCACGTTCGATAACTCAAACGGAGTTCTAATGTTAAACGCATCTCGGATCTGATTAATAAACGTGAAAGAAAACCGCTCACTAACTACTGACAAGAAACTTTCTTTCGTCATCTCTGAGGAATACTAGCAACCGCTACACCATACTGTATTAAGCTCTGATCCATTCACTGCAATACATTGCTACTTGAACACATCATACTAAGCTTTTCAATTGTTTCGTCGAGAAGTGTCTTGCAAATTATTTTTCATTAGCCGAAAGTTTTTTCTTCTTTCATACACATTTAGACTTTACACCAACTCAAAGATAAAATTTGTTATCCACAGTTGTACCCTGTTAACTTCTTTTCAGTCTAGATTTTCACAAAACATCATCATTCACTATGCAGCATATAAAATCCTATAAACACTCGTATTTGTATCCATAGCTCCTACACTGGAGTCTCAACAGCCTTTAATTCACTTCTCAGATCCCACGTAACACGGGCTAACTATTCCGTCTCTCTTCATCTGTATCATAATTATACTTTCACGATTCCATTTAGACACTAACTACACTAGATCTCCGAAATAATGAAATCGAAAATGTTAGAGCACAATCTTTAGCTCATACATTACAACACAACACAGTAACTCTTATTCTCTCTTGATCTGTACTATGTCTTTACCTCCACTTTTTCATCTAGACAATCACCACACTAAATCTCGCACGCAATCAAGTCGGAGATATTGGAGCACAAGCTTTAGGTGATGCATTACTACTCAATACAGTAATTCTTATTCTCTCCTTATCTATATCATGTTTGTACCTCTAGTTTTTCATCTAGACAACCACCACACTAGATCTCTCGCATAATTGGATCGGCGATGTTGGAGCACAATCTTTGGGTAATGCATTGCTACACAACACAGTAATTCTTATTCTCTTCTTATTTATACTATGTTTTTACCTCCACCTTTTCATCTAGACAATCACCGTACTAGATCTCTCGCATAATTGGTTT